GTCACCCTGCTGAGGGGAAATGCAGTTCATTGGTTATTGATTCACGAAGCCGGGTATCTGTGGGTTTTGTTTTGTGCCTCTGGTCCCATGACAGATCCTGATGGGAGGGCTTCCAGTGCCCAGGACGCTCCTGCGGTGAATGTAGGCGTGGAAGGAAATGTGAAAACTGTCACCGGCAGAGATGTCTCATCGTACTAAAGATTGCAGTTGTGTGAAGTAGAGAGTGGATGGCGTCTGACGTTGTGCATGTGTGTCTGTGTGTGTTTCCTGAGCGTGTGCGTGTAGGGGGCCGAGCGTGTGCATGTGTGCGTGTGCTGAGCGTGTGCGTGTGCTGAGCGTGTGGTGCACGCGTGTCCTGCGTCTGTGGGGCCACACTGCAGAGGTCTGGCCCTCACGCCATGAGTGACCCAGGGTCTGTGGCCCTGATGAGTGCTTTGGTGCCATTGGCCTTTGGAAGACTGTGGGTTTAAGATAAAGGGCCTGTGTAGCGGCTGTAGTTGTTCTAGAACTGGACTGGAGGGGCCGCAGGGAGTGAGCCCGTGACTAGCCCCCGCCCCGGCCGTCGGAGTGACCCTCGGAAGGAGGACACGGGGCTGGCGTCCCCACTGGGAGGACCAGTCCTCCTCCAGCGTCACAAAGGTTTGAGAAGAGCAGGTGGTGGGTAGTCGATTCGTGAAATCTCAGGCCTGCGTTTGCGGAGATGTTCCTGGGACCCTCCCCTCCCTGCTTCAGGTTGGGGGCAGAGGGCAGGTGAGCCGCGGTTCGGCCCCAGCAGTCCCGGGAGGGCCTGTGAGTTGCCGTCAGGGCTCGGGGGCCTCACCGAGGAGCTGCTCTGTGGTTGCACTTTGCGTTCTGTGAGGTTATGGAAAAGCCCTTGGATTGTGTTACTGAGGGCAGGAGACCGAAGAAACACGCGTGGAATCTAGGCTTGTGAGGGATGCGTAACGAGGCCTGGTTTGATGAGCTTGTCTAGAAACACACGTCCCGAATGCTGCTTCCCAGGCCTGCCTCGGTGATGAGATTCGGGCCGCGGAAGGGGGCCTGGGCTGGCGGGGCCGGCCGTGTCTCTCAGGCCGTGAGGTGGGGCCGCCGGGCGCTGGCGGTGCTTCTCTTCCCACTTGAGGCACGAGCGAGAGAGCTCAGCTGCTGCGGCGAAGCGGCGCAGCCAGCACTGCTGTGCGTGTTTGCCGACGGGCTTTTCCTGTCTCGGAATCACCTTTTTTCTGCCCGGAGTGAAGTTGGAGAAACTCTGAGGCCGTGTGAAGAGCAGGACGCTGTGGCAGGACCAGCAGTGCCGCCCTGGACCCCGCGGCTGCGTCGCACCTGGTGGGAAACGCTGTCTGTCTCCTGGTACAGCCAGGATGCTTTCTCAGCCCTGCTCCTCGGTGAGCGAGTCACGCCGGGGTGCGCTGTGGACCTGGGGCTCGGCACCCAGCCTGACGCGCAGTGTGGCCCCTCGGGGCGTTTTCCGCACACAGTCGCTGCTGGAAGCCCTTCTCTTTGGTGTCGAGCGAGCCTCGTTTTTCTGCAGCGTAGAACAGCGTGGTTCTTGCTCGGACGCCAGCCCTGGCTTCTCCTCCTGTGGCTCTGTGCTGTTTGTTGAGGGGGGCTGGGCCTCGGGGGGAGCGGGGTTGGGCCACAGCCCTGGGTCACTCGTGGCGTGAGGGCCAGACCTCTGCAGTGTGGCATCGCGTTGGCCCAGATGGAGGTGGGACTCAACCCGGCCCCTCTGCTCAGACGGGCACGGCCGGTACGGAGTCTGTCTACGCTGCGCGGGCCTGGACGGGAGCCGGTGGTGGTGGCTTAAGAGTGGTGGCGCCATCTGGGCCCGGAGCAGATGTGCTGCACGGATTTCGAGGGTCCAGGGTGAAGTTGGACTTATTTCTCTCAGTCTCTGTTGTTTTTTTTTGTTTTGTTTTGTTTCTGTTTTTGTTTTTTGCGGTACGCGGGCCTCTCACTGTTGTGGCCTCTCCCGTTGCGGAGCACAGGCTCCGGACGCGCAGGCTCAGCGGCCATGGCTCACGGGCCCAGCCGCTCTGCGGCATGTGGGATCCTCCCAGACCGGGGCACGAACCCACGTCCCCTGCATCGGCAGGCGGACTCTCAACCACTGCGCCACCAGGGAAGCCCGGCCTCTGTTGTTTGAGCTCAGGACTCTGTCCATCAAGGTCCTGTGTTCACAGGATCCAGATTTTAAGGGGATTCTGGTTTGACAGAGTGAAACCCCTGGGCCTCCCTTGGGCCCTGAAACGCAGCACCTCCTGACACCTGTACCCCGGTGTCCCGACAGATGACTTCGTGTCACCGAGGGCCCAGAGGGACACGGAGCGCTTGCTGGATGGTACCCAGGGTGGGATTCTGCCTGTGGACCGGGCCGCGGGCCGTGCCGCTCTGCCTCCCTGCCCAGTCACCGGTGACAGACTTGCCGGCCCTTCCTGGCCCATCCCGCAGAGGACTCGCCACCCCAGGCAGCCGTGCTAAATGTGTGGCAGCCGTGAGTTTGTCTTTGCTGGTTGACGTCGCACCAGCAGGCGTTTTTGTCACAAACCTTGGGTTTTCCTTTTAGCAGAAGTTCCGCAAGGGACAAGTGTGAATTACTGAAAACGTTCAAGGAATGTTTCTCGTGATCGTAAATGCATTGTTAGTTGGGCCAGAGTTGGAAAAGCTCCAGGAGAAGGAAAACAAGAGAAAGGAGCCATCTGCCAGCCGGCATCTGAGGGGATTGTTGGGGGTTTGTAGGTTCTTCCTGTCGGATCTTCACTTAGTTGTACATAACAAAGGTTTTACCCACGTGTGAACGTTCTGTGCGTCCCACGTCTACCCCGTCCACGTCCGTGTGCTGTCGCTGTTTCCCCCAGTCAGGCTTTCTCTTCTCCTGTGTCATCTTTAGCAGCTGTGCGTTTATTTGACACGTTGGGGAATCGTAGGTGGTCACTTACCGAAAAAGTGACCTAAAATGGGAAATAATAAAAAAGAATACATTCCTAAACTCATCTTGTAAAATTCAAACACCTATGCTTGCCCTCCCAGCCCCCTGGCTGTAGAGCGAAGGCCCTTTCTTGGCGAACGGGTCCATCGATTCACGTTTCTTGCATAAACCATAGCCCGTAAGGCCCAGCTTTGATTTCTGCAGGATGGATGGAGGACGTAGAGGACGTTTAAAGGTGCTGAATGCGACCTAGATTGTTTGCCGTTTTTTCCACGCGTTTAATAACAAACATAAGCGGCACAAGTGGGCGTTTAGAAGCGAACACAGCCGAGTGGCGGCCTGACACGCGGGTCTTCGGAGGGTCCTGAAGGGGTGGGGCTGGGTTAGCTCGGCAGAGCCCCTCTGCCGTGTCCCCGTGCCCAGGCCCCAGCCGTGGGGATGCTGGCGGCTTCCAGTTCAGTCTTCTCACGTCTGCACAGATCCACAATGATCACCGAGGACGGGTTCCTGGCAGTGTAATTGCGGGTGGACGCTCACACACGTGTGCGCCGTGCCTGAGGCGTCCTCAGAGGACCTCCTGGGGCGGGCGTGCCGAGTCGCATCTCCTCCCGTCAGGTTGTCGGAGCCCATGTTAACCGCCCGTTTTTAACACCAAGTTTGCTAATTTAAAAACCCACAGACTCGCTCCATTTGATGGGTGAGGTTTTAAATTCATTGTTTTAGTTTGCATTTTTTGGTTCAGAGACTGAGTATGTTCCTTCTAAGACATCCCGTTTCTTTGTGACTCGAACGCGCCCGCGCTGCACCCTCCATCCGGGTGCCGATTTCCTGTTGATTTGCATCCACTCCAGAAACAAAGGATGTTCGTGAAACCATTGTCGTCATTTCACAGCAAAACGTTAAGATTTGGTTCTTCTGTCGTCAGCACGAGTGGCAGATATACCATCATTTCAGGCTACACCATGGAGAGCACGCCAGAGTTCACACCTGGAAGTTTCACGTTAGGAACAGTAGTTTCCAGGTGTCTGAAGGTTCTTCCTTCCCTGTCGTCCCGGTGCAGTGTGACCGAGGCCGGCACGGGTCTGTGTTCCTGCCCCTCTGGGGCCGTGGTCTCGGCCTCAGCTGTTACACGATGGCTTGTCCTCTGCTTCCTGGTCTTGGGGACTTGAGTACCTGGCGTGGGTCTCATCTTTACGTTGTTTCATTTGCATTTCAGAAAAATCAGGGTTTGAGTGAAAATGTCTCATGCTGAATCGATGGCATCTGGATCTGATCGGAGCTCTGGGGGTGAACACCCCCTCGTGCAGCCGAGGGCCCCAGGCCACCAGCATCGGGGTGCAGGGAGGATCCTGGCTGCAGTGTGGACGTGCCCATGGGGTGTGGGCAGCAGGGACTTGTTGGGGGGAAGGGCCTGCTGCACTGGGTCTGGGGACGGGGTTCCCCTTGAGGGGCCGCGGCCGGGCACAGTGGGTAGGAGGGCGGACGAGGGGCAAACCCAGAACAGGCCTTGGGGGCTTTGGGGAAGGGGAGAAGCCCGCCCATTGGGTCAGCCTTTCTGGTCCTAAAGAACCTGAAATCATGTTCCCCTGGGGGCGACTTGCAGAGGGGCGGGGTCCTAGTCTCCGTCGCCTGGCAGAGGGTGCGGCAGGGCTATAGCCCCTGCAGGCCTGCCGCAGAAAGGCCAGAAAGCGGGACGGAAGCAGGTATGTGAAGTTGTCTCGGAGCTGTGTCACGTTTTCTTAGGGCAGTCTTGAGTTTGCACCTGTTGTGGAGTGAATTCGCTGTTTTTCTGTCCATGATGAGTGAGGCTGGTCAGACTGTGGGTTAGAGGCCGCGTCCTTCTAGGGAGGGTGAGGCCGGGTCTGACGGGAGCCCCAGGACCTGGTGTTGGGGGCTGGGAGTGGGGCGGCACCTGCTCTCTGGTGGGTGGAAGGTGATGGTTTAGACGATCTGCGTGGCGCTGGGAGCAGGTTGGGGGGCGGAGTGGGGGGAAGCGCTCCTTCACACGTGGGTCTCTGGGGGCGCGGGGGGCTCTGATGCCCTACAGGAGGCCCTGGAGCCCTGGCATTTCCGAGCAGGGCGTCAGGGCCCCTGAGGAGGAAGCAGAAGACGCGGGCTGGGCTGTGCCCTGCCTCCCGGCCGTGTGCCCCTCGGGGACAGTAGCCAGCATCCCGGCAGGGGGTCAGGATCTCACTTGAACTCTGCAGCCTCACCCTGGTTCCTGGTCCCGCCTGCGCCCCCCGATCCCTGCAGCCCGCTGGGCCTCGTGAGTGTGACCCCCACTGGTGGCGAGCCCTGGGCCTGGTGCGGGAAGCGTTGTCGCCCGCCGGCCGTCTCCTCTCCAGACCTGTGGCCGATGCTTCCCTGCCTGTGGCTCAGGCCACTCGCTGTGGCCGTGGCCACTGTGGCTCTGGCCGCCACCTGGCTTCCTCTCCGTGGATACCGGGGGGTCCCGGGGCGGGGGTCCCGGCCTCAGAGCCGCGGCTTGCAGCCCCCCAACCTCGTGCTTCCTGGATCTTGGGATCCTGGGGCGTCTGGATCCTCTGTTGAGGAAGTGGCGGGAGCCTCATGTTTGCCCAGTTATGGAAGTAGAGGGTTTATTTAAAAATCCATGTAAGAGTCGGAAAGAAAGTTAAGAGTCGTCTGAAATCACGGTCCAGGGTGGCCTTGCTGTTAGATTTTGGGGGTTGTTTTGGGAGTAACTTACACGTCCGTTACACGGCTTTGCATACGTGCTCTCAGACGGTCTTCTCCTGCTGTTCTTCTCCACGGGTTTGTCCCGGGCGTTTTCATGTTGGTAAATATGAACGATGAGAGGCGGCTTCGTTGGGCCACCTCGAATGTGTGCGGGGGGGGAGGGGCCCGCACCCCTGTCGCGTCCTGAGTGACTCGGTTCAGGGCTGTCCCACCGTCCTGCCTCCCCCGGGACTGGTTACACTGCTACTGTCGTGGCATCAGATGTTCCAGGCCGTGTCCCTCGAAGGTGAGAAACCTTTACACCTGAAACTTGTATGATGTTGTACATCAGCTGTAGCTCAAAAAATAATGCAAATAAATAAAGAAGAGAAATGCCCCAAATGCTGCACGTTGATTCCCGAGTGTCTCCCCGCTGGTCCTAGACCCCGAGGGGCTCTGCCACTGGGGCCCCGTGGGGTGTTTCACGTGGACGTGGCCCTGGGTCCTCACCCGTTCAGGCAGCCTCCCCTGTACCGCCTTGTGAGCGCCAGGGGCCGGTTTCACCTGTTCTGTGGTGTCTGTGGCAGGAGCTGGATCTGAGGCTCCAGGCACAGCCTCCCGAGCTGTGCTGTCCACCTGGAGCCTTTCTTCAGTGATGGACCTCAGCCCTCGCCCTGGCACTCCGGCCTCGTTGGTTCATAATGTCTCCGTGGTGGCCCTTCCGTGGCAGGTGGCCTCGGTCAGCTCCGTAGCAGGTCACCCAGAGTCTAGGGACCTTGAGAGCAGTGTTGTCACCTGTGGCGTCTGCGGCAGGAGCACGGGACCCAAAGGTGTCCTCGATGGTCCCCGAGGCCCCCGGGGGCCACTTGTCGCCCTCAAATCATGAGAGCAAGTGAGGGGGCCGAGGAGACAGAGGGAGACAGAGACAGAGAGATGGGGAGAGACAGAGACGGACACAAGATGCAGGTGGGAGGGGCGGTGAGCCAGCGGGCAGGCGACTTGGTCCCTCGTGAGCTGCCCTGGCCTTTGCGGGTTTGGCCACCAGGTCAGGCCGCGCTCGGGGGAGGGGACTGGGCAGGCGCGAAGTCCCGCCAGCGGGGGGCCTGGCTCACTCACCGGGTGCGTGTCCCCCGGCGAGGGGGGCAGCGTTCTTCGGGGTCCATGTCCTTTTACGTTAGGGCTGCTCCTGTGACTGCTGTGCTGAAAGGACCTCATTTCTCTTGTATGCGCGTCAGTGCTGACGTTAAGGAATGCTGTGGACTAGGTTTTCTCATGATTTCCACGAGGGCCAGCGATGATGGATTTTGTCTTTTTCTCGTCACCATGACAGCACTGATGCGCTGGGTGTGCCTGTGTGGCTCGGGAAGTGCTGCAGCCTTTCAGGATGAGTCAGGAGGAGGTTACTGAGGTGAAGGTGCGCGCGTGCGTGCAAACTGGCTCCCTCAGCACCCCTCCCCGGTGGGCGGGCCCTGGCCTGTGCGGAATCCTCGGGGTCCAGCGAAGGCGGCCGGGAGGTGATGCAGAGGCAGACTGGGGGGGAGATGCGGCAGGGCTCAGCCAGGTCACGCCTCCTGGGGGCAGGTGACGAGCTGGGGCCCCACTTTGCATTTCTCAAGCCTGGAGCGTGGTGGTGTCGGCAGTAGGAAGGTTTGCTAGTTTAAGTAAAGTAGTTGTCAGCTTTTCAGCTTTCGTTCTTAATTGGTTCAGCTCTTTCTAGCAGCATTGTGTGTTTGGGAACACGTGTTTTACCGTCATGGCTACTGTGGATGGGATAGCTGTACCTACTGTGATTGAGCAACCGACTTTTTCCGCTAACTACAAACACAAAAGGCAGAATATGGTTTTTCTAAGGAAAATTAAGGTTAGTTATGGCAAACGAGTGCCTTTGTTGTTGGTTTGCATGTAATGGATTTCGCAGCATGGTGTTTCCCTAGAGGAAGCCAGGTTTGCACCTTAAATACAAAGATTTTGTCAGAAAGCGAGTCCAGAGCGCTGATGTTCCAATTCACTGCAATTTCAGAAACATGTCTCGAGGGTCAAGCGCCACCTGTGTTTTGATGCCTGTTGTCAAGGCCCTGAGCTCGTAGCCTCTGGGCTGCGAGGTGCGGGGAGGGGCCCCGAGGCCTGCTCCGGAAGCGGGCGTTTTAGGAAAGGCTGCACTGGGGTGGCGGGTGGCTTGTGGGTGACGATGCCCGCGACCCCTCCGTGCGCACCTGGGTGGACCGGCTCCTCTCCCGAGGTCGGCGCTGTCCGTGGTTTGTCCCGCTCCGGTGCAGTGTCCTGCAGGGCAGGGGCGGTGCAGAGGTGCTGTCCCCACACGGAGCCTGGGGCGGGCTAGGGTGTTGGCCTGAGTCGTCTTCAGGCCCGCAGACGACTCTGTCACCTTCCTACAGAGCCGGGCGAGAGGGGCCTTGGGTTCAGGGGTGATGGCGACGTCTGTGTGCAGCGTCTCTGGAAGGTCTAGAAGGTGAGGTGGAGCCGTCTGGGCAGCGGGGTGGCCTCGAGGGTCTGCCCTGCTCCGATGCCGTCGCTCTGACGTCTCGAGCTGCTTGACTGTGGCTGTCGCCCGCCCCCCCGAGGCCAGTGCCGCTCGCTTAGTCCCTCAGAAGGGACTCCTGGGGTCAGGGGACCTGAGAAATTGCTGGGCTGTGACTGCGTGTCGTTGATGGTTTGCGGTCGCGTCACATCCAGGGGTCACGGCCGCGGCTGCCCACGGCCGTAGGTTTGCCCCCAAAGTGGCGGCCGGATGGTGAACAGCAGTGCTTTGTTATGTTCTGAGGAAACCTGTAACCGGCATCGTCTCTGGGTGGGAACAGTGACCCCAAAATGCAGTGGCCGAAAGTAACAACACACATGTGTTCTCCCAGCAGCTGGGGAGGGTCGGGTGCGGGTGGCCTTGCCGAGGGGTCTGTCCCTGGGTCTGGCGGCGTCCAAGGGGTGAGGCGGCCACCCCGGGGGGCCTTGGTGTCCTCGCAGCACCCCGAGCGAGCGGCACAGGAGGGGCGACCCCGCTGTGGGGCACAGCCCGCGGTCCCCACGGGTCCCCGGTGAGGGCGGGAGCCCCCGAGGCCCCAGGTCCAGGCGGCTCCTCCAGGCTCAGCGAGGAGGTCCCCGCGGCGCTGGTGCGGCGCTTCAGGTTGTCTGAAGGGAGGGTTTCTCAGGTGTTTGTTTCCTTCACGTGCAGGCGAGCTTGTGTCTCCTCTGTGATTCTGACACATTGTGTGGGGAAGTAGAGGGAGTTTCTGCACCTGGGAGCCTGGCTGGGTGCGGGCTGCCGTCCACGCGGCCGTCCGTGTGAGGGGACGGGCCCCTCCGGGCCGTTGGGCCTCAGTCGGGTGTCGGGTGTCACAGGCTTCTCGCCCCTGCTGGGAGATCAGGGCCGAGCACCCGGCAGCTCTGGGGGGGGTGGGGTCTCTCTGGAGGCGGCGGAGCCCGATCCGTGGCTCTGGGTGGTGTCACCACGGGGGGTCAGCTGGCACCGGTGGGGGGCCCTGCGGCGGCCCAGACGTCCGCGAGGGGACCGCTGAGAGCCCGGCGGGAGACGCAGGCGCTGTCGTGGGTTCTGGCCCCGTCTCTGCTGTGGCTCCCCGCTGGAGTGTGGGAGGCTCTGGAGCGCCGCGCGGTGGGTGCAGGCGGCATGGCGTCCAGGGTCAGGAGGCCGCTTCTGTGCAGTGTCGCTGCGGAGCCGGCTCTGCCCCAGAGCTCGTGAGCCGTTTGCCTCGTTTCTCCTACGTTTCCTGGTCCAAGTTCCCCTGGCTTAGGTGGGAGGCTGGGGCTGGCAGAGAAGGGTGGCCCTTTGCCCCACCCTCAGCAGTTTGCAGGATGGGCCATGCCCGTCGGCTCTGGCCGGGCAGCTGTTGCGGAGAGCCTGCGGCCGAGGAACGGAGGGTGGGCCCTGCTTCCGGGGTGGGGGGCGAGCGCCCCAACGCAGGACTTCCTGGGCGTGAGCTGCCGAGCTATCGTGGGTCACGTCGCTGCGGGCCAAGCGTGAGAACCGAGCAGGCCGGGGGCATCGGGGCCCTGGCCGACGGGGGCAGCGGCATTGTTCGGCGCGGGGGACGCTGGTCCCCAGGGCGGGCCGCCCCTGCGCCCTGCGGGCACTGGCCTCGTCATGGGGGCAGGCAGACCTCCTTGACCGCCAGCTGGCATGTCCGCATCGGGTCTCTGCTCTGTGGCTGCAGCGTTCACGCGGAGTCAGCTCTGGGGGAGCAGGACGGGGAACACGGAAGCCGGAGGGAAGGGCGGGGGGCCTGGGGCCCCCTGCCCGCTGCTGCCGTCCAGGCGAGGGGGACGAGCCTCTCTCGTCGCCTCTTCCAGGTGCGCGTCCTTATACGGCCCTTCCTGGCCCTGGCGGGTCTTCGCTCTGGGGCTCTGGGGCTCCGAGCCTGCATTACTGGGGCGTTTCTGGGACCCGTGAGATGCGGGCTCCCCAGCCGTGATCCGCGGCGGTCCTGGTGGTCAGGCACTTGGTCCTCCCCCTCGTTTTCTTGGGGGGTCAGGAAACGGCTACAGGGCGTTGCTGGGCTCAGCTTGTGGGTGGCCCCTCCCCCGTGGGGCCTGCCTTTGTCTGGGGCCTCAGCAGGTCGGGGGGCTCCCCCGTCTACCCGTGGGGGATGTGCGTGCATTTGAGCACCTCACGGACGTGCCCGCCCAGCCCCACCTCGGTGCAGGGCTGAGGTGGGCTTCTCCACGGCCGGTCTCGGGGCCGCTGGGCAGGGTCTCCATAGCTTTTGTTTTCACACCTGGTTGTTGCGGGCACGTGCGAGGTGTGCGTTGCTGTGTATGTGGGCGTGTGAGCGTGTGTGTGGACGTGTGAGCGTGTGGTGTGCGTTGGGGTGTGTGTGTGTTTACGTGCATGCGTGTCTGTGTGCATCTGTATGTGCACATACGCACATATCCGTGTCTGGCGGCCAGGTCCGGTCGGGAGGGCTGGATCCGGGCCCCGCTCCGAGCAGAGCCGCTGGGTCCAGGGTGTGGCTGCAGGTGCCCCTCCTGGCGCTTGGCGGAGCAGAGAAACGCTGGCGGTTCCCAGACGTGGGGAGGCTGCCGCCACACGGCCTGACGCGGGCGGGCAGGGCGGTACCGTGGCTGGTCTGTGGAGGTCCGGGTCCCCAGCGTGTCTCACCCGAGGCTGTCACCATGACAGTTCGGGCGGTGCTCCGAGCCCTCCGTAGTCGCACGTGTCGGGCACACGCTTCTTTCGTTCAAGCGGCCCATCGTGCTGGTGCCCCAAACACGCTTGACCGTGAGGTGCCGCCCTGTGCCCCTCTGGTCGCCCTGGGACGAGGGGGGCGCTGGGGGGTGTTGGGTGCATCCCGTGGCCGTGAAGGGCGGGGACGGACGTGCCCCGGGCCCCAGGCCCACGCCCCCCATGCACAGAGGTCTGTCCTGATGCTGGGAGCGCGGTGTCCGGCACGCTGACGGAACCAAAGGTGCTGTTCTCAGGCCAGAGCACCAGTTTGCTTTCCCGGTGGCCCACCCGTGGTTACGCATCGCTGATCCCAAATGTGAAATGCCATGTGACTTAGTTGATAACTAAGGGAAGTGTTGCACGGTGTCCCAAAGGCTGAGATTCAGAGGCTGACAGGATCCTTTTCCCGCTGCTGAGAGCCGATCACGGTGGGTGAGCCAGCACGTGCCCCCGGGCCTCGCGGCTGCGTGGGGACGGCGAGGTGTGCGAGCGGCGGGTTGCTGGATGGACTGCCGCGCTCCCCACGCCTGCTCACTGTGTTGTCGTTGCCCCCACAGGCCGGTCTAATTGAAGCCAACGGGGAACTCAAGGTCTTCATCGACCAGAACCTTAGTCCTGGAAAAGGTAAGGGCGCCCGTCTCGGGAAGGCACGTCTCTGGATAAGTGTGTCTAGTGTGGGGTGGGTGTGAGTGCCCTGACGTGAAGACCTCAGTCAGCGGTGGGAGCCCCACTTGGGGAGCTGCCTGCCTGGAGCCCCCGAAGGACCGGGGTCAGCGCCGCAGTTTATTTTGGTTAGTAAGTTGTGTGCTATATGCAGAGATTCGGGAAAAGTGTGAGGAAGAGAACACAGCACAGGGCACGGATACTCCTTCCGCCTCAGGGCAGCCACGCTGATGCCCGTGAAGCCCACCTCAAGCCTGCGGGTGCGCGGTGCCCCCGTGAGAGAGCGGCGTCTCCTCGTCCGCGCTGTGTCCTGAATGAGCCTCGACGTCTGTCTGCACCCTTGGGATTGAGGGGAGGGGGTGGGGCGGGGCGTTGCGGGCCCTCTTCCCAGGGGCCCCAAGCTTTGCAGTTTCCTTCCTGTAGGGACACGGGATGGACGCCTGCTAGTGGGTGTGTTTGAGCCGGTCTCCCAGCTGTGGATTTGCTGGGTCAGAGGGACGCCCACCTCGAGGTGCTGGCCTGTGATGCCTGGTGGACCAGGCCGTGCCGTGCGGGGCCGCAGCTGCAGGGCCTTCCTTCCTCTGATCTCTGTCTGCCTTCGGCATGCTTGCTGTTGCCTTTCAAATTGGAAAGTTTTCATCAAACAGATAATACGTGTTCACTGAAAAAAAGCGCTGATCGTACCCAAGGGTGCAGTTGAAGACGTAAACGTGCGTTTAAGTGCACGTTTCCTCGGGAGCGTCTGACACCTGGTGTCCATGCACGTGGTGTCCTGGGACCTGTGTTGTCCTCTCCCGGCAACATCTGGTGCCACCTTTTGTGGCCCGATGGCAGCTCTGGGCTCCTGAGTACCAGGTGCGCGTAGGCCACCATCTTCCACTCCCGGGACGTGCTGTTTCCCAGGGCGGGTCCTCCTCTCACTGGTGAGGGGCGTCCTCTGGGGACGCGGGTCACTCCGGGTCACTCTGTCCCTCAGCCTGAGGGTGGGCTTCTCGGGCAGCAGAGGCGAGAACTTAGTAGTGACGTGCGGCTGGAGGCTTGGTGTCACTTGACGATTCTTGAGACTCGGAACCTACCCTCCAGACACACACCCGCAGGGTGAACTCAGCTTCCGGTATTGCTGGGAGGCCTGTTGTAGGAGGACGAGGTGCCCCTCCCCGTTGTGGCCCCCTGGGGCAGGGCGGGGGCTCAGAGGACGTTCCAGGTGGGGATGGTTCTCGGGGAGGTAGAAGGCTGCTCCCCAGGACGTGGTGGGGAGTCGCCCAGGAGTGGCCGGGGTCAGGGCGCCAAGACGGCCAGAGGGCGCCCCAGGCCCGTGAATGCTGCCCCTTGATCTATGCGGGAGCTCCCGCAGGGCCTGCCCGTGAGTGGTGTGTCCACGTGGGCAGGTGTGGCCGCTGTAATGGCCCAGGAGGGCAGCTCCCGCTGATGCCTGAGAACCAAGGAAGCCGCCGGGCTCTTCCAGTGCCAGTGAGGCCAGCGGCTGGCGGGGCTGGGAAGACCCAGCGTGCGAGTGGCCGCCTTGCCCTGACCCTTTTGGCCACGTTAGCCCACAGGGTATTTGTAGCATGGCAGGCAAATAGTAACTCTTCAAACATTAGGTTCTGGAAATTTTTAAACGTTTGCTTAAAATTATTCTCAAGAAAACACTAAACCTCACGTTTTCATACTTTAAAGTATCTTAAAACCTCTGGATATTAATGATATGGTTACTAATGATAAACCTATGTAATAATTTTAGAATCCTTTTTCTGTTAATGGTTATAACAGGTCAGACAGTATATATTCTTAACTCGCTTTTTTGAAAGGAATTCTCTGGTTCATAATGTTATATTTGAAAATACTTTGTTTGGTAGTTCCCTTAAGAAAGGCTTTGTAGTACGTTTTATGGTTAAAGCGGTGTTATTTCTAGGGAGCAGATTCCTAGCTTGTGTTATAATTTAACCTCCCTGTGGCTGAGATGTTACGCCCCCGCCCCCATAAATGGGTTGTGTGTGGCACGTTTATCAGGAAAACGTGTAAAGCATTCTGATTGCTCTGGCCAGATTAAACCAAAAGCGGAATACCATTCCATGCCCGACGTTGACCAAAAGTAGCCAATCTCAACTGAGTCAACAGTTGTCAGAAACCTGGGAGAGGGTGCTGGGGTGCGTGCGTGCGCGTACCCGTGCCGGCAGAACAGCCGCAGGCCAGCGCTGGGCTGAATCCCGTGACGCAGAAGGTCACCTGGGACCCAGGTTCCCTTGGAGAAGGGGCACCGGGAACGTGTAGATATTACATTGTATGTTTGTGTAGTTACACCTGATATTAAAATGGAATCGGCCCAGCCTTAGAGGAAGTCAGCTAGATCTCTCTGTGGGTCAGTTTCAAAAACATCAGAATCAGAGTTGCAGAATGCGTACAGTACGTACTACCTTCTAGATGTAAAGGCCCGCAAACAGCACTCACATTGTCCGTGGATGCGTGGGCATGTGTGGGAAGCGTGGAAGACGCAGTGAACGCTCTGAGCGCGGTAGCTGCTGGCCGGGCGGAGTGGGGAGCTTTTCGGCAGAGACAGTGAAATGGCATTCGTGATTCTGTGCGTGCTGTGTACTGGCGCTAAGGCTGCCTGCAAAGTTATTACTTGTATTTGCAGCGTACACGCAAGGGGAAGATCCCCGGGGTGGGACAGGCGGCATGGGTGCAGGTGAGGAGGGGCTGGCCCGGTCCACCCCCGAGTTCTCCCCGCCCCGAGCTGGGCAAAGGCGAGAGCCCGGGTAGTGGCTGGGTGTCGCAGCCGGACCTGCAGACCGGCGGCGAGGTGGCCACGCAGCCCTCCGTGGATGTGGCCTCCGCATAACGACGGACAAATGGCTTTAAAGGCCGACGCCAGGAGCCGTGCCGGACAGCTGCTGTGGGCTTTGACCCGGCGAGCTTCCGCGCTCACGGGTGGTTGAAAACGGAATCATTTGCAAATTGAAAAAAAAGTTATTCTTTTTAGTGAAAATAACCAATTCCGTATTTTTAAACTTCCTAGTTACTTATCTGTATGTAAATCTGAACGTGGTATGTTTAATTGCCTAAGTGTATTTTAAATCTCTCAGTGCAAAACAGAATAATTTTGTGTCTTTTAAAAAATGTTTCTCATATCCAAAACAATTTTTTAAATATTTGTTTTTGTTAAGATACAGATCTCTATTTTTAGAGGAATATAAAAAACTCAAAGCAGATAAACCTATTTTGCTTACAGCCAATAGTTTAAATTGTTTTGGTGTTGATTGGTAAAAATATTAATATTTAGGCAGTTGAAGGATGCATATCTGTCTTCGTCAACTTAGGTTAATAGAAATGATTCATTGTTCGTACGTAGCATCAGAATTCATTGTTTACTGGAATTTGAAGAAGTGTATTTAAAATGCATGGATTGTAAAGAGTTCAAAAATGAGACCTCGGACCAGGCCAGACGGAAGGCCGTGTCTCTCCCTCTTGCTGAACCTGGTGGAAGTGAAGGAAAACGCCCTCCGGTGGCAGCCTGGTGCAAGGCTCCCTGCCTGTAGAACCCCCGCCACCCACCCTGGGGGCCCGGAGCCCGTGTGCTTTAGGGAACCGGGGGGTCCTGTCCACACGGGGCTTCTCCGTCCCTCCAGTGGGGCTGGAAATCCATGTCTTCTCACCTGAGACGTCCCGGCCCTTCCAGGACGCTCGTGCCCCCGGGCCCGCCTGCCGGTTTCCCCGGGCACGCGTGCCCTCTGGTGTCGGCGGGGCAAGGGGTTCACCGTTGTATCCCTGGGACCGAGGCTGGTGTGGGCACACAGCGCTCTCAGCGGGCTCGTGCTGAGGGGAGGAAAGTTTCCGTCCCCCCTGAGGTGTTTCCCCAGCTCTGTGTTAGGTTATCTGACTGTTAAAGAGGTGGCAGCTCCTCACGAGTCACTCCTCCTGGAAACAGAAGCGGATTCTACTTCTCGAGGAAAAGCAGATCGTTAGATTTCTACGCCAGGTTGCCAACACACAGAGAGGTGTTGGAATATGAGTTAGTTCCAACTGTGAAGTTCTGTAATTGTCTTAGAATTGCAGACTTGAAGAGCTGTTTAGCTTCGGGGCCTGTGGTCCCAGCAGAGCATTCTGTCGGTGGGCAGACAGCCCACAGGGGTCGGGTAGGTTGGTGACGGCCTGGGTGCCCCGGAGCCCCCGATCCCTGGACGCGAGGGCACAGGGGCGGGTAGGGGTCGTCGTAGGGAGAGTGGCAGCGTGGGTGCAGCCCCCTCAGATTTGGGCATCGGCTTCGTAGCGGCTCGCGGCGGACCGCGGGTCTAACACGGTCGGGGGCAGTCAGGCTGTCTCCCAAGGGGCATCTTCCCCCTGACACTGGCACTTGGAGCCTCAGTTCAGGAAGGGCGTGACCTCTGGTCTCCTTGCGTTGCAGGTGTGGTGTCCTTAGTGGCCGTTCATCCCTCCACAGTAAACACGCTTGGGAAGCAGCTCTTGCCAAAAACGTTCGGACAGTCCAATGTCAACATCGCTCAGCAAGTGGTAAGGCCGGGAGGGTGGTGCACGGTTGGCCCTGTGGCTTCCCTTCCTGGGCCCGCAGGTTTCAGGAGCACGTGGCCAGTGCCGTGTGTCCTCCCCCGGCTTGGGCCTTCCTGTGTGTGCCGCTGGACGGCGGAACCCGGCCAGGCCAGGGCAGCTTCCCCGCCGGCCACGCTGGTCCCGCGTCTGCCCTGATGGTGCTTCCTGGGGTGACGCGTGCTCTTGGGCCCGAGCTGGTGCGGGCTGGCCGCTCCCGGGCCTGGGCCCTCCTCAGGGCGGGCCGATTGCCGGCCCGGGACTCGAGACTGGTGTCCGTGCGGGCCTCACGGCGGCCTCAGGGCTCTGCCGGCCGTCAGGTGCTGCAGGGCGGGGGCTTCCCTGCCCATCCTGGCCGATGGGAGGGGGTCAGAGGCGGGCCTGCGCTCCTGGGACTGTGCCAGGCGCCTCTCCTCCAAGTACTCCCACCGGCCCGTCAGCTCCCACCTGTGGGGTTTGGCGGCTCCCTTCCCGACGGGCCTCAGGGCTCCACGGGGCCGTGCGAGGAGGGGCGTTCACCGCCCACCGCCCCGCCAGGCGGCCCCGGGCAGCGGTGTGGCCTCCCCCGTCAGGGAGCTGGGACCACGTTTGCTCAGCAGCATTGCTGTGATTTTTCAGATCCGTGGTGTGTGGGAGTCCTAGGCCTTGCTGGGCACGTCACAGATATCCAATAAATGTCCTTTTGATAGAAGTTATAATCCACATCATTTTATTTTATAGGTACTGTGCGTTACGTTATAGCAGAGTCACGCCTGAGAATAGCTTGGTGATTATAGCAACAGTTCTGTCATTAGTACCAGTTTAAATAGTTGGGAGGAAGCTAACGTGAAGAGTTTTCTGGTGGTGCCTTTCCGACCTGCAGCTTATCCACCTGAAGTTCCACTGCTGACTTGCCCCAAGCCGTCTCGGAGCCCAGCTAGTTGTGGAAATGTGTTCTTCCCAGAATGCCCGTTCTCAGAGTTAAAGCTGGCCCGCCACAGATGCCTGTCCATCTCTACAGACACAGGGCTAAAAGCAGAAGAGCTGGCAGGTTCCCACAGGAGGGAAGTCCATGGAAAATAGTGAAAATAGGGGAGTGAGGGGACACAACCTGTGGTGTCCTCCGCGGGGCTCTGGGCAGTGGCCCGCCGGCCCAGGGTGCGCTCCCCGCTCACCTGTCCTGTTGTCGAAGGAGGCTGCCCTTGCAGTGAGCACCTGTTGGGCCCTGCTGTGTGCCTGGTGCTCTGTTCTCCTTGCAGAACAGTGGAACCCACGGGAGGTGTCCTTAGGGGTGGACGGTGGAGTGGGCCCTTGTGTCCGGTGGGGCAGTGACACCGAGGCTGGGCACCCCTTTTGGGGGCAGCGGCAGCAGCCTGGCCTCTGCCGGCCACGCAGGGCTGGGCCGGCGTCCCGAGCCTGCTCTCCTGAGGACGTAGCGGGCGGAGTGCTGAGAGGGACGGGTCTCAAGGTTCCCGAGCCAGTGGCCACAGGCTCTGGCTGCGCGCCTCCCGCCGAGACCCGGGGCCCTCGCCTCTGGGGCTTCACCCTCGTTTCCATCCTGCCTCACTTTCCAGAACGCTAGCTATTTGATCGCATGTCTTTGGGATGAGAGTGACCTGCAGTTTGAAAAACACGGTGACGATGCCTCAGTCACTGGGAGCGTGAATTAAAAGAACGCAGTTCAGCTGAGCTGTTCTCCTTTCTGTGGCTTTTGCAGATCATTAACATTGACAGGTGACCTGGGCTTAGGGATAATTTGCAACGTGCCAGGTCAGCTGTCCCAGGGCCACGGCAGGTAGCCCTTATCCCACTAAGCAGCGGACTAGCGGGAGTGTCCAGCTTAAAATAGCCCGGACACGGCCTGCTCTCCACGCGCCCAGTGCTGGGGACCAGTGCTGACACGTTCGGCGCCATCCCCGTGCAGTCACCAGGAAGCGGTGCTTCGAGTGGTTTCCTGGGTCGGGCACGAGCTCTTTGGGAAGCTAGGATTTTACGTGGCTGGACGAGGCAGTGTCCCCGTGTCCCCGTAATGTGTGACTGTCGACGGATGGGACCAGAGTTCTGAGCCTTTGGTGTCAGAAGACGCCTTCTGTGCAGGGACGGGTGTGTGGATGTCGGGGGCGGCCCCGGTGCCATGGCCTCTCCTCCGCCCCGTGCTGTCTGGGGTGCCCGGGGCTCCCCGCTTGGCAAGCCTCGCTAGCCCTGCGTTCCTTTTTTTCTTCATTTGGGGGCTCATTTTAGCACCGCTGAAGCATAGCGTTTTATCCTGTCTCGTGTCACTGAAAGGAAAGGAAGTAAAAGAGGAACGTGGGAGTCCCCCTCGGAGTCGTCTCCAGGCCCGGCCAGGCCGCCAGGCGTCCCCCGCTGCCCAGGGCTCCAGGTGTCCCCGTTGGGTGCCCACGTGACTGTTCTCTGACCTTTGTGGTTAATAGAGCTCGGCGGCGGCTGTAGGTAACGAGAGTGATGAAGCGGCAGCATCGTGTGGAGGAGATTCTGACTGTTTTGAATTGTCTCTTCTGACTGTAGGTAATTGGTACGCCTCAGAGACCTGCAGCGCCCAACACTATCGTGGTAGGAAGCCCACACACCCCTAACACCCACTTTGTCTCCCAGAACCAGTCTTCAGACCCCTCACCTTGGTCTGCCGGGTGAGCACTTGCCTAGAATTTACCCCCCAGCCTCTGGCTACGTGGCCGACCAGCACGCCAGAGGATCGGGCCCTGGCCAGCGCGTGCCCGGAGTAGACGCGTGGACCGCGCCGCCCTGCGGTTTTGGGGGTGGTGACTCCACTGCGGTTTTGGGGGTGGGCTCTGGCTTCTCAACGCAGCGGTAACTTTCACACTTTGCGCTGTCTGTACCAGAAAGTACCGTTTCTCGAACCCCAATAAACGTGGCGGGTTTCGCAGCAGCTTCTCCTAAACAGCTAAATGTGGCCGTGGGGACAGCCCTGTGTGACGGCCACACCACCCTGTTCCTTTCCTCCAAAAGCAAAGCGATGTGAAAGCGACTTTACTCGGAGGTCAGCTGTGCAACTTTCCCTAAGAGCAAACAAAAGCAAAGATGTAGAATCGTGTCTGTATTTTTGGTTCTAAAGCAAAAATCATCAGCTCCCGCAACTCGTCAGTTGGAAACTTGGGGCGACCGTTTCCTCGCTGTGGCGACTCAGGAAGGTCGGACGCTGGGGCTCCCCGCCGAGGGGAAGCGCTCCAGCCTCAGCGCTGGGCGCCGGCGGCCACGTGGCCATCAGGGTGTCTGCACTGGCTCACGTTTGCCCCCAGATTCCTGTATGTGCAGCAGAACTTCCATAACCCCTGATGTCGGTCGACATCTTTTTAAGAAGCAGCGTTGTCTGGCGTCCCGATACACATCGGACGTGTCCTGGGGTCTGCCCTTTGGGTCACGTGCCCCACTTTTCCCGAGAGCTGAAGATACACGTGTAAGGTCCGGCCACTTAAGTTTGTTCTCCAGCCTTTAAAGGAAGGAGGGGGTCCCTGGACGGGGAGACGGAGCCAGGCTCCCGTCCCTGCTCTGCTGAGCGCAGCCCGCGGGACCCCTCGAGGCGCCCGCCGGTCCTAGGAGGCGGGTCTGGATCCTGGGCTGGCGCTGTGTGCTGAGGCCACTGCTCTCCTGTTGTGTCTTTGAAGGAAGCGTAGCAGGAAAGGGGAGAAGAACGGCAAGGGGCTGAGGCATTTCTCCATGAAGGTCTGCGAGAAGGTGCAGCGGAAGGGGACCACGTCCTACAACGAGGTGGCAGACGAGCTGGTGGCAGAGTTCAGCGCCGCGGACAACCACATCTTACCGAACGAGTCGGTGAGCGTGTGCGCGGCGGGGCTGGCAGGGCCGCGAGGCTGGCGGGGCGGGACACCCCGGCCCTCTGTCTGTGTCTCAGATGGCCTCAGACATGCAGAGAAGCTCTGAAAGCACTTCCAAAGGTCTCCCGGCCCGCTTGTGTGGTGATGCCCCCGCGTCCCCGGCGCTTCCACAGCGCGCACCGGCTCCGGCCCCGTGTGTCGGCCGCCTCCCCGTGGCGACGCCCCCTGCCTGGGCTGGCGGGCCGAGCGGGGCCGTGCGGGGGGCTGCCTCACGGGGGCTGCGGACGGTGCCCAGCCTCGAGTGTGCTCGGGTTTTGGGCTGTCTGGAGATCTCCCTCTGTCTCTGCCAGGCTTACGACCAGAAGAACATCAGACGGCGGGTCTACGACGCCCTGAACGTGCTGATGGCCATGAACATCATCTCCAAGGAGAAGAAGGAGATCAAGTGGATCGGTCTGCCCACCAACTCCGCCCAGGAGTGTCAGAACCTAGAGGTACCTCCAGCCCTGCGTCCGCCGCGTGTTCCTAGCAGGCGTCGGTCGTCTGCACCACTGGCGCCTGCTGAGTGTCTTGGGCGGCGGTGGGGGGCAGGTCTCCCCGCGTCCTGAAGCCCCTGATCACGTCCCTGCTTTCCCACTTGACGGTGACCCTCCGGCCGTCTGGGGCCGCGGACACTGGTGGCAGGGCAGTCGGCCCGGTCCGGGGGCGGTTTCCCCCAGTGTGGGTGAACGCTGCATCCCAGTTTGTGGGGTTTTCAAAAAGACACCATAGCCGTGTCCAGAAGACGAGAAGATGGAAGAAGCTTGTGTAGTTTTGAGGTTAAGAGAAACTGGCCTGTGCCCGCAGCGTCTGCCACATTCTAGGTTCTTCTGTTGCCCCACCGTCAGGCCCAGGGCACACGTCTTCGGCGAGGACCTTTCCTCAGTGACCCTGTGTTGCCTTGGATTTTAAAATATGCTGTGAAAACCAGTTGTGATGATGTCTCATGCCGATGGCTTGTCTTTGAAGGTGGAGAGACAGAGAAGACTGGAAAGGATAAAGCAGAAACAGTCGCAGCTCCAGGAGCTTATCCTGCAGGTAACGCAGCGCCTGCCGTGGGGGCAGTGGGATTGCCGTTTGCTGGCGTCGGCCCCCCTCCGCGTGTTTGCTCTGGTCTCTGAGGGGGTGCCGGGCAGGGCCGCTGAGGACGCCCAGGGAGGGTTAGGTGGCCGGTGGCAGCAGGTGTGGGTGCGCGTCAATCGTGCATCTTTTTAGCAAATCGCCTTTAAGAACCTGGTGCAGAGGAACCGCCAGGCGGAGCAGCAGGCCAGCCGGCCGCCCCCCGCCAACTCCGTCATCCACCTGCCTTTCATCATCGTGAACACCAGCAAGAAGACGGTCATCGACTGCAGCATTTCCAACGACAAGTAGGTCGTGGTGGGAGGGGCCTTGGCCGCGTGAAGACGCCTGGTCGGGGGGCGGGGGCAGAGAGAAGGTGGCCCATCTGGTTGATTTGCTGCGGGTCTAGCTTGTAGCCACCAAGTGCGATCTTTTCAGCGTCATTACCTTGCAGGTGTCCTCCTCCCTTCCCTGAGTGTGCGGCTCCTCGGGAAGGAGGGGTGTTGTCAGGGCAGCAGGCGGTGCTCAGGGCCCAGCCCGGGACGTCCTGGGGCGGCCGGCAGCCCCGGGCTGCGTAGGTGCCGCCCGCGCTCCCTGGTTGCTGGCGCTGAGGTGGTGGGTTGTGTGGCTGAGGGAGGTTTGGGGTGAGTGGGGTGTCCCGCTCGGGGCCCCCGAGCCAGGTGTCCAACTCTGTCGTGGAGACGGCGCTCTTCTGACGGTGACTTTCTCCTCTAGGTTTGAGTACCTGTTTAATTTCGACAACACGTTTGAAATCCACGATGACATCGAGGTGCTGAAGCGCATGGGGATGGCCTGCGGGCTGGAGTCCGGGAGTTGCTCCGCCGACGACCTGAAGGTGGCGAGAAGTTTGGTGCCGAAGGCGCTGGAACCCTACGTGACAGGTCCGCTCCGTCCTGGACGGGACGCCCGCCCCCTCCGCTGGGGTTGGCTCGCGCCCGGTGCCCAGAGCAGAGACAGATGGGACGTGGGACGTGGGACGGTGGCGGGCTGTGGGGTGCCGGTGCGGCAGCAGCAGGACGCCATCTGGCGGGGCCGTGGCCCCTCGGGACAGGGGGGCGGGGGGGTGGCGACAAGGCCGAGCCGTGTGGTTCATACGGTGCAGGCGTTACGTCAGGATCTCACCTTCCAGGTAGGGCCCCAGGTCTGTGAGGAGCATGGCAGGCGTGGACCCGACCCCAGGGAGTGGCTTAGTCACTGCAGCAGAGTGACCGAGAAAAGCGTCGTCTCGGCAGCCCTGGGCCTGCCCCCGACGGCAGGTGTGGGGAGCCTCCTGGGTCCCCGGCGTCCGTTCTGCCGGCTCGTTGGCTGAGCTGGGGGGTCCCAGCCGCCAAGGGGAAGGGCTTTGCGGTGAGAGAGGAGACGCTGCCCCTGCGCCTCTGGTGTGGATTACCCCCGAGCGCTCCCAAGTGGCCCAGAATAAGTGGGCGTCTGGCCTCAGAGCGTCCCGTGGGGGCGCCTCCACCTCCTCTGGATGCAGCAGCTGCCCTGCGGGACCCCCGCTGCCCTCCCCACGGCCCCCGTTCTTGGCGATACAGCTGCGTCCAGGACGGGGGTCGACGTAGGTCCTTCCTCCCCTTGGGTCCCGCCTCTGCGCTGTGGTGGCGGTTGCCCTCCCGTGGCACAGTGGTGGCATCGTCGGTGGCCGCGCCGATTCAGAGAAGTAAAGGGAGGACTTCCGTGCTGTCTTCGCGAGGCTTGGTCCGATGGCCGGGCCCAGCGAGCGGGCTGCCTTCTGGCTGGTAGCGGGCATGGCACTGGGCGGCCCGAGGGGCCTCGCCTGGAGAGCCGTCCCGTCTCAGCTCGTGGGCCTGTTTCCTGCGGTCTCTGCTTTGTGAAATTTGCTTTCTTTTCTTTCTCTTTCCAGAAATGGCTCAGGGATCGCTCGGCGGTGTCTTTGTCACGTCGGCTGTTTCAACTGCCAACGGCACGAGGCTCTCTGCCAGGTAACTGCCATCCCCGGCGGGGCCTGGGGGTGGTGGGGCCACTGTCACCTGGCAGCGGGACGCCCGGAGTCGGGGCGCCCAGAGCAGGGCAGACCTCCCCCCACTCCGGATGCCCCCCGAGAGTCACTCAGAGCTCGTCCTTTGTGCAAAGGAGATTTGCTTTTTCTGATTGGTTTCTTTCCTCTAAAGGTTAAAAGTAGTACACAGCTCTTATTTTTTTGAAAAGTACTTCAGTGAAGTGTGGGCAGAGCCCCCTGAACCCCACGGCCGCAGCCTGAGTGACAGAGGCCGTTTCTCCATCTCTTCTTTTCCTTTTTAATACACTTGAAGTCACAATACGCACATAAGGTTCCTTTTTTTCACGTTACCGTGTATTGAGTGTATTTGATATTATCGAAGGAGTTCTATCATTTAAATCAATGTGTATTTGACTTTTGACCTAGCAGTCCCACAGAGCAGAAGTGTCAGACCTCAGGGTTTGTCTTAGTTTTTTGAAGATAAATGTAAAGTAATACCAACGTTAGGTATTGACAAAACAGTGGTTTTATTTTTTATGTAGTATTATGTGTCATACATATTTATATCAATTCTAAACATCAATAAATGTTCCTAAAGTATAAGTGAAATCAGCAGAGTGTAGGTCCAACAAAATGGAATTGACTAATAAGTCACGTGTGCACGCCTTCGAGGGGGCTCTGCGGGCACCGTGTCCTCTGGTCCCCGTGCAGCGCTGGCCCGGCAACAGTGCGGCCCTGAGGGAGGGGCGGGGTCGCCCCGCGAGGGCCCCAGTGCCCGTGGGGTCTGTGTCGACCTCCGGGGCTGAGGGAGGCCCCAGGGTGTCTGCACCTGTTTGGATTTGGACTGAGGTTCCGTTTTTAACTCTGAATCTACCGCTGTGTGTGTAGCCCAGTCTGTAACATCTGAACACTGGTTATACCAAGAGGTGGAATTTGGGTGTTTCCTAAACGTTCCTCTTGCAGAAATTCTTTTTATTGATTAAACTTCAGAGGCTCACATCAGGTTTTCTAAAGAGGGAAGCAAAGCCATTGCCATCTCAGAAGAGAAGCTGACCTTAGTGGTGGACGCGCTGTTCTTACGAAGGCCCGTTCTGTGCGTTGAGCTGCCCTCTGGTTGAACGTTTAGGTGGTTCCCAGTTACAAGAAAAGCGACAACGAGCCGCCTGATGGCTCAGTTTTCCACTCTTCCTGGCTTGGCCTCCAGGCTGGCTTTCCCAGATGTGGGATTACTTTGTCCAAGAGCAGCGTCAGTAAATACCAGTGAGAGGTATCAAGATACATGCGTGTGGTTTTCTGATAACGGGAAAACACCTTTAACGTTAGGAATCTGTGCAGCTCTGCCCTGTGGGCTTTCTGTGGTGCCACAGGCCTCTCAGGGTCCTGACCCGCGTGGCGGGACAAGAACCCTTTTACTCAGTCATCACCCTCCCCTGCCCCGTGTCGTCTGATCCAAGTGTATCACGGCCGCGTTTCCAGGGTGGTTCTGACCCTTTCATGTCCTGTTATCTTTAAACAGACTCACGGTTTACCAAGTAAGCTCCTCCGTTTTGTGGAGAGCAGTTGAAGGCCGCAGTTTGGGCGCAGAGAGGATGCTGTGAGGCCCCCCCGGGGGTGCCGCTGTGTCTCTGCGTGGAGACAGGCCTCCTCCGAGTCTGGAGCCTGGATGACCTGTGTCAAGTTGTAGCTCTAGGTCGGGGTCCCCTCGGGGCCTTCCCTTGCTGTTCAGCTCAGACATGAAGACACTGAATGACTTGGGACGGTGCCTGAGCAAGTTGTAGCTCAGAAGAAACGTCGCCTTCCCTCCCCTCGTGGTGGGCGTGGCCATCTCCCGTTGGTGCCCTGGGACCGTAACTGACCACAGCTGACCCTTCGCGTCTCGTGTGCGCTGTGCTGGGACGCGGGCGGTGGCTGAAGCCGGGGGTCTTTGCCCAGGATTCTGGCTCCTGAAGCCCCTCCGTTGTAGGCCAGGGTCTCGCCTGCGGGCCTGTTGGCATTTTGGGCCGGACCACCCTTTGCTGTGCATGCTGCCCGTGCCTTGTGGGGCACTGGGTTGTGCCCTCGACCTCAGATACTAGCACCACCCCCCGGCCTGGGCCCACCCCAGGGGCCCAGCCCCTAGAGCCCAGGGTCCCCGCCGTGGTCCCCGCCTGGGCCCACCCCCGGGGCCGGCATTCCAAAGAATAAAACCTGCAAGAGCCATGTGTCCTTGGGGCCGTCCTGGAGGCGCAGGCTGCAGTAAGACGCGCCCGTCACCCCCAGCTTCCTGGCTCAGCCCGGACGCCAGAGGAGCTGAGGGTGGGGCCTGGCGTGGCGTTTCCACAGCGGACACACGCACACGCCAGCACACGCTCACGGGGTGCCCCTTTACTCCCCAGCTCCCAGCCTTCAGGGAGGTCAGGGAAGTCACAGGCGGAGGCCTGGGAGGAGAGTCTCGGGGCTTTTCCGGTTGGTGTGCCCGAGTCTCGCTTCCGACATGATGATAAATGGGGAGGACTCAGTGCTGGGGCCCTGCCGGAGCCCCTCGTCCAGTGGTGATGGGTGAAGGGGGCGTGACGGGTGGCGTCAGCCTCGGGGGCGCTGGGTTCTGTGCTGCACGTGGGTAAGGCTTGCCGTTTCTGTTCGTGTAGTTGAGAACACCCGGACCTCCCGGGGATGCCGGCCCGTCTCTGGCGCCGCAGACGCCGCCACTGACACCTCCTGTCCTTGCAGTGACCTGGCCAACGGCGCGGACGGGGCGCTGGCCACGAGCTCCAGCGGGTCGCAGTACAGCGGGTCCCGGGTGGAGACCCCCGTGTCGTACGCTGGGGAGGACGACGACGAGGACGAGGACCTCAACGAGAATGAGGGGGAGGACTGAGCCCCGCCGGCTCCGGGGACACGTCTGGGGAGGAGAACTGCTGTGAACGTGGGTCTTTCTGTTTCCTTTGCCCTCCTCCCAAGAAGAGCTCGCTGAGCCGCCGGGCTCGGCACGCGCCACCGATACGCAACGCGCCGTCCTCTGCGGGGTCCTGACGAGCTGCGCTGTCTGGTGCCGACGCACGGCCTCTCTTTACTCTTCTGGATTTTGTGTTTTCGTTTGCTGTTTTTTAAATTCAGAGTTCATTTCGCCCCTTCACAGTTCTTGCCGAGTTTGCTGGAGACGTTGCGCTCCGTCCGCGCCGAGGGAGATACAGGCCCTGCTGCCCGGCGGGCCCGAGGCAGCCGCTGAGGGGGAGGCACCACGGAACCGGCAGATGGCGAGGCACTGCCTCTCGACGTCTTATTACGACCTTATTTCCCTTAAATTATATTGACTGCGTGACTCCATCGGGTTTCTACTTGGGTTTTGTTCTGTGTTGCAGCCGATGAATTGCGAAGCTCTTTCTTCGTTTCTGTGTGTTTGGTTTGGTAGGAGTTTACTGCCACGCTGGTGCAGCTTTGGAGACTGTCTGAGAGCTCGGAGTGGTTTAATGCTTATGGTAAAATGTGCCTGATTTCTTACAGGCAGCGTTTGGGAACTTTTATTATATAGTTGTTTACATACTTCTAAGTCTGTCATTTAAAGACATGTACTGAAACAAATGTTGTATTTGTTTCGTAAGCATCTTCCTGTAATCTATTATAAAGTTGAAATTAAATATAGAGAATGTTTTAACAGTTTTTTAACTCAAAATTTGTCAATCATTTTTAATAGTTCTTTTTTTATAAAAAGAAAAAGGAATTTCAGGACAGGCAGTAGTCTCTTTTAAAACGTATTTACCAAGAACCATTAACTGCACAGTTGCTGTTAGCTGCCTGTTCTAAAATACTTGTCTTTCTATCGGAACACAAACAGACTTTTCTGTAATATTTTGTGGAATAAAGAGACTTAAATTGTTTGACTTGTTTAACTTGGCACTGTTAGTTTTTATTAATAAAGTGCGCATGGGCATTTTAAACAAGTCGTGTGTCCCTCTGATTCGGGATTGCTGTCTGGAGCTCATTTTCTCCCGTCAGCCGGGCCGTTCTCTGGAGGGAGGAGAGGGTCCAGGCCCAGCAGTGCACGCAGGACCCGCCGAGGCCCCCAGCCTGTCCTGCCGCTGCCCGGCGGCGGGGCCGAGGAAGGAGGTCCCGGGGACGCGGCCAGTGGTGGGGAGAGAGTTTGTGCTCTGCCTTGCTTTTAGAACAAACGTACCCACGGCCTTTAATGTGTGAGTCCTTACGAAACGTGACCTTTGCAAACACACACATCCCCGAAAGGTCACGAAGCGCCCCAGGGAAGCAGGGGGCGGAGGGACGCAGGCTGGATGCCCTCGCGGACACGCCCACGGTGAGAGAGCCAGGCCGAGGGTGTTCCCTGCCTTTCTCCCGGATCCTAGAAGCCGAGACAGATTTTATGGATTTGACTTTCGGAAAAAGAGTCAGATTGTAAGGTAAGATGGGGCAGCTCAGTGTTTTATTCACGTTGGTCGAAGACATCCGTGAGTGTTGCGGTACAAGGTTGCGGCCTCGGGCAGAGTCGTGTCTCCTGAGGGCTGTGGCGGTTCCTCCTTTCTTCCTGACTGTGGCGGACTGAAGTGTCCTGAGGGCTGTGGCTGGAGAGACAGGGGCAGTGTCGGCGCCCGTGCTGAAGTGTCCTGAGGGCTGTGGCTGGAGAGACAGGGGCAGTGTCGGCGCCCGTGCGGTGAGGACACGGCCAGCCCCGCGTCTCCGGCCGAGTCCCCTGCGGCTGTGCCCCTGCTGCCTCTCCTCCTCCAGGGCACCCGGGCGGGTCTGGCCAAGCTGGGCACCCGGGCGTGGGCACGGGACCCCCGACACCGACCTTCCAGCGGTGGTGACCCAGATGACCGAGGGTCTGCTGGTTCCGTTGCCGCGGGAGCGCCTTGGGCAGGGGACGAGGTTCTGGCACCGTCGCCTCTCCTGCTCTTCCTGGTAGGTGCTCAGCTGCGGCCCAGTCTTCCCGGAGCATCACCCGTCAGGGGTCCAGCCTGCGTTCTTCCACGCCCGCTTCCCTGCCGTGTGGTCTGTGACCTCTAGGGGAGGTGTTCGATTCCCAAGTTCACGTCTTACAAGCTGGTGAGTAGTGGGGTTCTGCAAACCAGGAGGCCTGTGGCTACTTGGGCCGAGGACTGACCCTGGGCGTTGGCTCAGCAGTGGTCCCCGGGGCGTGTAAGCGAGCTCCCAAGACAGGAACGTCCGGACTCGAACCTAGGCCTCTGACCTCTGACCCCAGAGCCTGTGCCCCCCCTCCCCCAGGTGCTGGTGGTTCCGTGTATTCGACAGCAACTTGACGGAAGGTTCTAGCACTTCTTTCCAAGGGGCGCTTTGTGGTCGGCAGGTGGCCGGCTCTGAGGTTCCCTGTCCCCTGCACCCCCCGCGGGGGGGCAGCCCCTCCAGCTGCTGCGCCTCAGTTTCCTTCCCTGTGAAATGGAATCAGCAGCCTTGGCCTCCCAGGGCAGCCGGAGGAGGGACCCCGAGGCAGACAGCCTGCTGTGCTCGGACCCCGCGACGTGCGCCCCACACCCAGCCCCATCGAGGCCTCGGTGTCTCTGCTGGGGTGGCTGGGCCTCTGACCTCCAGTGTGTCGTGACAGCCCCGAGGCGGCCTGATCTCTGGGCTGGGCCTCTGACCTCCAGTGTGTCGTGACAGCCCCGAGGCGGCCTGATCTCTGGCCTGACGTGGCACTTCCCAGGTGGCTCAGGGTTTTTGCCGGTGGGGTCGGCAACGCGGAGCAGAGACACCGTACCCTGGGCCCTGGTGGCCTTGGGGGCTGGGCGGCGGGTCCCCTGTCCCCTGAGCCTCTGCGGGGCTTCTTCCGTGGGGTTAGGACTCTGGGCTGCCAGCTCCGGGTGGGGTGAAAAGTGGGCGACAGGTGAGAGCAGGTTTGTCCTTGGGACAGAATGTTCTCGTTTCAGGGTTTTCTGAATGGCCTGGGGCTGCAGACCGCCCCACCCCCCGCCGCTCTGGAGGGGAGACTGTGCTCCGAGGAACGTCACCTCTGGGGTTTGGGCTCCGCTGCGTGGGGACACCCTTACGTCCCAGAACTGTGCGCTCTCGGGGCAGCCCCTCCCACTCCGGTTTGTAATGTCCCCGACTTGCAACTGAAAGTGTTAAAGGAAGAGGTTTTTTGGTTCATTAATTTTAGTTAATTCTTCCCCCTCATCAGGAGAGACGCGACTCTTTTACATAGATTAAGAGTGAATTTAATAAACTTGATTTTTACAGTTTAGGAATTGTGTTTTTTAAAGCCGGCAACCAGAATGCATGAAATCCTAAGTCACGTTTCATGTCAACGCACTCCCGGTCTTCATATTAACGTATAGAAAAAATAAATTACAGCAGGAAAGGTGATGTCTGCGCGGAAGAGATGAGTCCTTTTGGGGTCTTGTTAGTTGCACAGCTGCTGCCTTAGGGTCACCGTGTTAGCCCAGCGTTTTTATCGTGGCTACAATTCTACCTAAAAAGTGACGGAGGTTTCACAGGATTCTGGTTCCGAGAGCTGGGCGCACGGGGGCCTGTCGGGTGCGGAGCTGCCTCGGGTGCCGGGTGTAGCTGGACGCGGCGTCTGTGGTCACCCTGCACCTGGGGCCAGCCGCCTGGCTCCTCTACTTCTGGATTTTAAGCTTGAACTCCACCTTCCCCTCGTAGGGGTCGTGGGGGTTGTCGAAGGTCACGTGCTCCGCCAGGATCTTGCACACGATGACGACCTCCCTGTTCACGGGGGCGTTGAGGAGCTTCGCGGCCACCAGCGGGTTGCTGTAGTGGGGCTGAGGCGGATGTGCGTTAGGACCGGCGAGGGCGGCCGGGCGCTTGGCCGGGTGCTCTCACGCCGCCCGAGAGCCGCCCGGGACCCACTGCTTAGAAACGAGGAGACTTGGCCCGGGGGGCGGGGGGCGGGGGCAGACCAGTGACAGATTCAACTTCAAGTTACAGTTGATGAAAATTAATATAAAAACAACGGAGGATAAAGCAAGAGATGTGGAGAAGACGATTGTAAATGGACGTGCCGTTGTCTAAGGGCCTTCTGAGGAGGCCCTTGGAAGGTAAAGGACTAGCTGTGGTATTTATTTTGTGTGAGAACGATGTGTTTTCAGGTAGTTACGAGAACAGGGGTTTGGGAAGCGCCCGAAGATTAAGGGGTCCGGCTGGGCTAAGTGCGGCCTTGTTTCGTTTCTGCGGGTGAAACGTTTAGGGCCTTCCTTCTGCTAGTGACTGCTCAGTTTCATCCGGTTCCGGAGCAGCTGTTGGGGACAGTGGCGCACACGTACCTGGGCCTTCTTCCCGTAGTAGGGGAAGTAGTGTAGACTGTAGACGCCTTTGGGTGGGAAGTACTCCACCTGCAGGGCCGGGGCATCCGGGTGCTGGTCCTGTGGGCGAGAGGCCGCTGTGAGAAAGGCCGGATCTGGTGCGCTCGTGTCCGCCTGTGTGTCCGTGCCACGCATGCTTCTGCACGCAGGTCCACGTGTGTGCGTACGTGTGCACCGTGACCACACGTGCAGTTGGCACTAGATCTAATCTTTATCATCAGCCCAGAATCCATTAAGGGTGTAATTCGTTAGTTTGCAAGACCCCGGGTGACTTTTCAAGCTTGTGTTTTTTTCCATTTTAAACCCTCTTAGGATAAAGAAGGTGACAGAGCTGAGCGTGTGGGAACGAAGGCCCACAAGGCTGGGCGGGTGATCTGCGGAGACTGGGGAAGGACCCACACGCTGCCGTGGGGTTTGCTTCCCTTCACTGTCAGAGCCAGCGACTCGCCCGACGGCTTGAGCTCGTCTGAGGGCAGAGGAAGGGTACTTTGGTGTCTGTGCAGATCCCGGGTCAGCCTACACACGCGTGGTCGAGGAAACTCAAAAAGGAAAAACAAAACAGGACGAACGCTGCGCTCCGGGGAGACTGCAGGCTTTGGGTGGGGGGGGGGGGTGTCACCCCAGTGGGGCACCCGTGCTGACGGCAGAGAGCCCTGGCTGAGGGCGTGATTGTGGAAACAAACTTTAGAAAATATTCAACGAAGACAAATTTAGTTTTTTCGTGTTGTCCTTAAAAACATGTTTTGAGAAAAACTGGACTAAATTAATGCCAACTGTTGGCAGCATTTCCGTACACACGCTGCCAGACGACAGCGGCGGTCGGTAACTTGCATATTTTTGTAAATAAGCCAATAAGAAGGACAGAGCAGCGTAGCAGATGTGCCTTGGTTTCTCCAAATAGCCACAGACATTTTGAAGCACGTCAGCGATACACTGTCCCAAATGCCTTTTGAAGCAAAACGGTGACGAGCGTTGTTTTTCTTACCAGGTTGCTTTTTCCAGAGACAGTGTAAGCCTTTACTCTCCAGGATCACATAGCTGTGCCGTTTGGCATCTTGCAAAACCATATAGAACATTTTTTCCTGATAATTCTTACCGGGTTTTTAATCCCCCAGGATAAAACCACTCTTAAGTGAAGGTTCCTGCAATTCGTGCCCCTGGCTTATTAGGCTGACGGCTGGGATGATTTTAGGGAAAAGCAGATCAGTATTTCCCACAGGTTTTCCCTCCTAAACAAGACAGCTGTGGCCGGTCACTCACCAGGAAGGCGCAGTCCACCCTGGGGGCCGTGTTGTTGCCGGGGAGAAAGTTGACGATCTGGAAGGGAAAGGTTCGGACGTGGCCTCTGTGCCCATCTGTGAGTGCGGAGGATGGGTGCTGGGGAGGCTCTGGGGCGGATGTACCAACTCCTGCTTCAAAGCCGGAAGCTCCACGCTGGGGCCGTGGTCTTGGCCGGCAGGTGGCAGAGCTGGATGGGGGTCTGAGCTTCCCGAGCCCACCTGTGCAGACGGCCCGGCCCCCAGATGCGCCTGCTGGTGCCCAGGGCCCAGTGCAGTGCCCTCCTGGCTCGTGAGGACCACCGCCCTCCCTCGCACACCTGCTAGGCAGCCGGGACCGCAGCCCAGCTGGGCCCTAGGGCCCGGCGCGGTGTGCCAGTGTGTGGCCCCCCGGCCTCTTAGGGAGGAAAATGAAGGGTGCCACGCAGACGCCAGCATGGTGCCGGGTCCTCCCCGCCCTGCCGCCAGGTCCCACCCTCCCCGGGGCCCTGCCGAGATGTCCCCTCTCCCCGCAGCGTGGACGTGCCTCCCGAGGTTGGCCGTGTTCTCACGGTCAGCCTCCCTCTGCGCCTGTCCTCAGACGGTTCCCAGGTGCCCTCCCCGCGCTGACCGCGGCCCGGCTTCTTCCAGCCGCCGTGCACACAGGGCTGCTCCAGGCTCTGCGGCTCGGCGGGGGGCGGACGCCACGTCAAGTGGGTGGTGGGTCTGCATGGCGGCTCCCAGTTGGTCTGAGGGAAGGCGCGCTCGCGGCCAGCACACGTGCAGGAGAGGCGGGGCCCCGGTTCCCTTCTCACCTCCGATCCCCTCACTCACCCTGTTCATCTTGATGATGAAACACGGCTTTCCTTCCTCAAAGCCGAAGGTGGGGTCCGGCCGGCCCGAGCAGTTTTGCAGCATGTCTGCTGTGAACTTGCAGGAGAACTTGGTGTGGTTCGGGGCCAGGAAGCTCTCCTGGAAGAAGTACCTCTCGGCCGTGCAGTTGATGTTGGCCTCCTGGGCCGCGGGTGAGTAGCCTGGGGGACAGGCACACCTGCGGCCCTGCCCGAGCTGCGGCCCCCTCTGCCCCCCGCCCCCCAGGGGGTTCCTGAGACGAGGAAAGAATGGAGACACTGCAGTGCATTCTGCACTCTACCTGCCAGGAAGTGGTGCAGGGCCTGCGTTAGTCCTGTCCAGGTCCTGTTGTCAGACACGTTGTAGGAGATGTCCAGGCCTTTCTCCCCGTAGACATCTGGCCTCAAGGTCACCCCTGGAAAAAGGACGTGACGCCTTGGCCTTTGGTTGTACATCCAGGCCGTTTGCCGTTCGGTTGGCCCTGGCCTGGGGGAGGCCGTGCCTGGGACGCTTCGGGGCCAGGCCTTCGAGGGTCCCCCCGCCCCTGGCAGCCAGCAGGGCCCGCGACCCTGCCCAGGGGCCGGGGGGCCGCGCCGTCCCACGAGGCCTGGCCAGGGCCCGCGGGTCCCTCCCACAGGAGGCCTGCCTGCCTGCCAGCCTCTGCGATTGGGGCACATTCTATCACGGTGTGTTCTCAAGTTTGTAATCTATTACGTTCTGTTCTGAAACGACATAGAAATCCTCCATGTTTTGTCCGTTGGTTGATTCAAAAAATTGACCCGCAGTTGTCACGATGATTTGCAGAGGATCCGCCGGGCGCTGACCCAGCTCAGCGCTGCTGTGGGATGTTCTCGGGTTAGTGTCTTCCTCAGAAACAGTTAAGGACGCAGGGGTGACAGACGCTCCGAGTAGCTGGGCTGGAAGAAGCTTTCCTCCCTTCGTTTCTCCCCCCGCCCTTTGCACCGCAGGTTAGCTGGCTGCGTGGGGAAGCCTTGGTCCGAACACCCTCCCCGGGACCTGGGAGTTTTGTCACCAGCGACTTCCTGCTCTTTGGCGCTGGCCCAGCCCCCTCGTCGCACGGGCCACCTTGCACTTAGACGGCACTCGCGCTCTGGACCTAATTTGCTGCTGGGGAGGCGAGGCCTCCACAGGAGAGCAGCCTCGGTGCCGGTGATGCCGCACGGGCACCGAGCGCCCCTCGCCCCCCTTCCTGATCCCCTGGTGACCGTCCTCCCCGACATCCTCCCCGAGGGGCCGTGTCCCGGCCCGGCAGCCCAGGGCAGCGCAGGGCCCGACGCCCGGTACCTGGCGACTTGAGCTGGTCCTGGTAGTCGGGGGTGTACGGGTCGACCGTGCACATGAGCACGTAGAGGCACAGGGCGAAGACGCCGGTCATGACCACGTAGAAGGCCACGTAATAGAGGCTGATCCACACTGCGGGAAGGGGCGGGTCAGACGCGGCGGCAGCCGCTCGGCTGCGGGGACACGCGTGCCGCTCCCCAAACGCGTCACCTCTCAGGGTGAGCGTTGCACTGGTGTCGGGCACGTTCACGCACGGCGCTGGGCACCCGTCCCGCTGTCTGGTTCCAGACCATTCTCCTCACCCCGTAACCCTGCCCCCCTTAACTTAAAAGCCTTAAAAAGTTACACTTTTAGGAACACAGCTTTAAAACGGCTCTTCTCCAATCTAAGGCTGGGCCTTTGGGTCAGGCTGATCCTCAGCTGCTCGCAGGTGCCCGCTGTCGGCGGGTGTTGGGGCTGAGGGGGGCCTTTGGAATCACCCAGTGGGGGAGGAGAGGCCGGCCAGGGCCTGCGTCTGGGCACGGAGCCCGCCAGCCCCACGCGGCTGCTGCTGGTCCCCTGCCCTCCCCTGGCGCCCCTGCCCTGCCGCACGGACCCCAGCGGGACGGCGTCCGGCCCAGCATCTGGCCCGTGTCCGGGTTCCAGCAGTAGTGCCGGAACTCCTCCATCCTCTGGCTGCATGACTTCTTCTCCTGCAGTGCCGCCATCGCCCCGCTCCTGCCAAGGGACGCTTGGGGGAGGACATCCCCTTGGGTTTTATGGTCTCCCCCTCAGAGGTCAAGGGCACTGCGGCTCTGGGTTCCGGGGCGAGCCCAGCAGGGTGTTATCACTGCTTGGCCGTCAAGCACCGACGCCCGGGCAGGCCCGGCAGGTTCCGCTGCCGTCAGGTGCCCCTCCACCCCCTCCCTGGGCAAATCAGGGTGGCTCACTCCTCCTCTCGGGTGCCCTTGGCCCAGAGCCTTATCTGCTCTGATAATGAGCAAGGAGGCCTGCCAGGTGCTCAGCTCTGCCCACTCGCACCTCCTTGGGGAGGGAGGTGTGAGGAGAGCGGCCTGCACGAGGCGGGGCCTGGGCCCTGATGCCCAGCCGCGGCCGAGATGCTCCCTGCTCTGCGCTGATTGCAGCAGGCGCCCGAGGCCATGATGAGGCGACGGCTGGGACCCCGGTGTGGGGGGGGCTCCCGCCGCCGTCAGTCCTGGTGCTGGAGAGCCAAGCCTGCCGGTGCCCAGGGCCGCCGGCCGCGGGGCCGCAGGGGCTCCCGTCACTCTTGAGCTGAGCTTCGGTGACGAGCGTGTTGTCCTCTGAGAGCCAGTGTTGGGGCCCTGTAGGACTTTGTGTCCATGGAGGAATTCACAGCCATACAATCTAGAAGTGTTTTCGGAACCGAATACACGCCAGTCCCCGGGCGATTTGCTGAAATGCAGATTCTCCCAGGGACCCAGCGGACCTGGGAGCTCCCGTGGGCCTTGCTTGTGGCTGCAGGACTGTGGCAGTGTCTCGGCAGGGGACGCTCAGCCTGACAGCACGTCCGACCCACCTGGGGCGCCTTGAAAACCTGTGACGCCTGTCCCACCCCCGAGGTTCTGAGGGAGCTGACCTGCCGGGCGGCCTGAGCGTCTGGACAGCTGCGAGCCCCCGGACCTCCTGATGCGTGGCCAGAACCAACAGCCTTGGCGGTCTACATAGCTGGGGCCCGTCTCTGAGATTAGGAGGAAAGGGCAGCGCCGGGCGGACAGGACGTGGCACTGAGGCATCTTTACAAGTATCTAAGTCAGGACCCGACTGAAAGGGCGGGATTGTAAACAGAGCTGGGTGTCCATCCATTGTCACTTTCCCTCTAGGGACCCACGTAGCCAAATTGGAAGTGTTCTTCGGGGATAAAGATAGTGAAAAGCCCTCTAGCCATTATGTGTATTTTCTTTAGGATGATCTAGAGTTTGTCAGCAAAACGAACACCCTAAAATTCAGATGGAATCGCAGCATTTTAGCTTGGACTCATAGTTCCTTAATGGACCAGCCCTAGGCATTTTCCTTCACACTGTTCCCCTTCACAGCTTTGGAACTTTAGGGCAGTAAAAACACAGAGTGTGGCCTTAGGCTGCGGTCTCACTGTCCACAGCCTGTGGGTCTGGGACCCCTGCGCCGAGGCCTGAAGACACAGGGTAGGAACTGCTGTGCAGAGAATCGGTGCCGCCCTGTCTGGAAAGTACAGAGACACTCTTGGGACGAGCACAGCATGAATTCTTCCTGGAAGTCTCTGAACGAAATCCTCCACACTGAGTCTCTGAATTCCCAGAAGCATGAACGTGTGTGCTGAGCTGCACACGCGTTGTCGTGATGACCTTCCTGGGACACGTGCCCGTGGGGAGGGGAGGCCTGGGGCGGGATAGGGGGCACTGGGCTGCTTGGCGTGCCCCGCGGGGCAACGTGGGACGGACGCCCCAAAGAGAGCGAGCTCCGGGTGATGTGGGAGCTCACCCTTCCTATGCGGGGGCCTCGACTCCCACCCACCCCCCACAGCAAGGGACCGGAGCCCATCCCTCCACAGCGGCCATGGGGTCAGCGGAAGCCCACGAACGCCGAAGGACTGGATGATAGGAAGATTCCCAGCTTTCGATGGGTAATCACTCATCAGAGCGAGAACCAGGCAGATCTCCAAATGAAGTGAAAACAAGACGATCAGTAGATGCCACACTGAGGTGACAGATTCTGAAATCACCTGACAGGTTGTAAGATGTTTCAGCCAGCAATGATGATTGTGCTTGAGACAAATGGAAAGACAGAAGTAGAAAGTTTAAGGCAAGAAATAGAAGACATAAAGACCAAATGGAAGTTATAGATTCAAAAAATACAATAACCAAAATAAAAAGCTCAAAGAATGGATTCAGCAGCAGAAGGGAAGGGACCAAGGAAAGAATCACTGACATGGAAGAAAAAACAATAGAAATTTCCGGATTTGAACAATAGAGAGAAAGTAGAGCCAGAAAAAAAGTGCCCAGCCTCAGTGACCCAGGGGCCGTAGGAAAGGCCTAACGTCTGTGTCACTGGAGTCCTGCAAGGAGAGAAGAAAGAGTGGGGCTGGGGCATAAACCTTCAGACTCAAGAAGCTGAGAGAACCCCAGACAAGATACCCCCCAAATCCATGCCAAGTTGCATCAAGATTAGACTTTGAATATCCAAGACAGACACAAAAAAACCTAGAAAGCATTTGCAATTGCTCCAAACAAAAAGGAATATTTAGGTGTTGATCTAATAAAACATGTATAAGACTTGTATGCTGAAAACTACATAATGGTGATGAAACAAAAGTCTAAGTAACTAGAGACACACATTGTGTTCGTAGGTTGGAAGATTCAACACAGTCAAGTCAATACTCCCCAAACTGATATACTGTTTTAACACAATTTCTATCAAAATCCAAGCAAGATTTTTTTTTTGTATCTATAGGCAAGACTCTTCTAAAATTTATTTAGAAAGGCTAAGGAACTAGAATAAATATTTTCTTCTTTATTTGGAATACTTTTTTGAAAATATTTCTTAAAAAGAAAATTAAGGTAAGAAGACTCAGTCTACTCAATTTCAAGGCTTATTATATAGCCACAGTCATCAAGACAGTGTGGCGCTGGTGGACGGACAGACACAGTGAACAGTGAAACAGGACAGAAAACTCAGAAGTGGACTCACAGATATGCCCAACTGATTTTGACAAAGGTGCCAAAGAAATTCAGTGAAGCGAAGACGGCCTTTTCAACACATGGAGGTGGAACCACTGGACATCCGTGAACCCTGACCTAAGCCTCACACCTTGCAAAAAAGTGAACTCAAAATGGTCATGGATTTAAATGTAAAAGTGTAAAAATTTTGGAAAAATACATGGGAGAAAATCTTCAAGAACCAGGGTTAGGCAGAGAGTCCTTAGGCCTGACACCAGAAGCACAATCCATAAAAGAGAAAATTGAAAAATTGGACCTCCAACGCAACAGCAAAAAGGCAAGCAGTCCAGTTAGAACACGGTCAAAAGACACAATGGGATGTTTCACCAAAGAGGATTCACAGACGACAAACACATGGAAAAATGTTCAGTATCATTAGCCAGTAGGGAAATGCAAATTAAAAACACAATGGGGTACCACCTATCACAAGAGCTAAAGTAAAAAATAGTGACAACTCCAAGTGTCGGTGAGGATGCTGAGAAACTGGATCGCTCGTGTGTTGCTGGCAGGAATATAAAATGGTAGAGCCGTCTGGAAAAGAGTTTGCCAGTTTCTTAAAAAATTGAACATGCAAACACCATACGACTCAGCACATATGCTCTTGGGCATTAATCCCAGAGAAACTGAAATTTATATCTGCAAGAATATCTGTATGTTTTTCGCAGCTTTATTCATGATAGCCCAACTGGAATCAACCTAGGTGTCCTTCAACAAGTGAATGGTTAAACCAGCCGTGGTCCATTCACACCATGGAATACTCCTCAGCAGTGAACCTACAGGTGCGTGTAACCGCCTGGGTGAATCCAGGGAGTCATGCTGAGAGAAAAGAGTGAACCCCCAAAGTGACACACTGTGTGATTCCACGTACAAAGCATTCTTGAAAGGACGACTTTATGGAAACGGAGAACAGATCAGTGGTTGCCGGGGTTCAGGACAGGGCTTGGGGTGGGAAGGAGGTGGGTGTCTGTGAAGGGGGACCGTGTGGCGTCAGGGGTTCCTGAGCATTTGCTGTGCTGGCGTCGTATCCACGCTGCGATCCCGAGCTGCAGTTGGGGGAGATGCTACGACTGGGGGATTGGGTGAGGGGTGCAGGGGTCTCTGGGTTATTTCTTTTAACTGCGTGTGCGTCTACAATTACTCTGAATAAAAACTTTAAAAAAAGGGCCAAGTGAGTTTGGGAAGCTCTGCATACTTGACCCCTCTTAGAGAGCCAAGTTCACTCTTCAATCTCTGAGTCCCGTGATTGCAAACATGTTTAACGCCGTTTATCTGAATGCTTCCCACTTCCCCAGGAGGTAGTTCAGCTCAGCGTTAATCCAGTGGGAGTTGCCGTCCTCAGACACCGCCTCTCGCAGGGCTTCCTGATCTGGGTGCCAGCCCCACTCCAGGCCCACTGAAGCAGATCTTTATTTCTCCAGGTGATTCGTGTCCCCGCACTGCTGGGAGGCGCTGTCTGGGGACACACGGTGAGAGACACCGTAGAAGGGGCTCCGGTCCACAACACGCCTTGGAGCCGGAGCCGCCGACCCGTCTGAACACTGACGGGTTAAAGAAAAGGCAGGAAGGGTTTGAAGAGATCAGCTCAAGGTCGCCTGCTAGTGAGTGCCAGGCTGGACGCACCAACCCACCTGCTCAGCTGCAAGTTCTTATTTCTGCTTCCCCGACTGCTACACAGAGTCCGCCTGTCTCCCCATACCCACTGACAGAATCTCACTGACCTCTCGACCCTCTCCTCCCTGCGTGGGGTTGCTTACCCGGCCTCTTCTGGCTGGGGTGTTCTTCATTTCTGTGGCCCTTCTCTTCCTCCCCTCTCTAAACTGTAGCCAACCCCCATCACTTCCTTGTCATTCTTTCCCATACATGTACCAAGCACCTACTGTGTACTAGAACAAGGCAGACAAGGCCATACCCAGGTGTGCCCCAGGTGTGTCCCAAGTGTCCTCCAGCTGTGTCCCAGCTGTGCCCCAAGTATGTCCCAGGTGTGCCTCAGGTGTGCCCCAGGTATGTCTCAGGTACCCCCCAGGTGTGCCTCAGGTGTGTCCCAGCAGTGCCCCCAGCTATGTCCCAGGTGTGTCTTAGGTGTTCCCCCAGTGTGTCTCAGGTGAGCCCCAGGTATGTCTCAGGTGTCCCCAGGTGTGCCCCTGGTGTGTCCCAAGTGTCCTCCAGTTGTGTCCCAGCTGTCTCAGGTGTGTCCCAACCATGCCCCAGGTATGTCCCAGGTATGTCTCAGGTATCCCCCAGGTCTGCCTCAGGTGTGTCCCAGGTGTCCTCCAGCTGTGTCCCAGCTGTGCCCCAGCTATGTCCCAGGTGTGTCTTAGGTGTGCCCCCGGTGAGTCTCAGGTGAGCCCCAGGTGTGTCCGAAGTGTCCCTCAGGTGTGCCCCAGGTGTGCCCCAGGTATGTCTCAGGTGTCCTCCAGGTGTGTCTCAGGTGTGCCCCTGGTGTGTCCCTGGCCTCTTCGTTCCCTTCTCTCTCCTGCCTCTCTCTGTGTGGGACCTCAGCCTGGGTGTAGCTGGTGTCTCCTTCATCCCCGTCCTAATTTCACCTGAACCTTTCTCTTGGCGTTTCTCCTTCACCAGCCAGCACAGCCCAGGTGAGGGCCGGGGCTGATGTGAAGCTGATCCCTGGGCAAGGGCCGGGGTTACGTTAGGTCATCAGAGCCGCCAGCATGACACAGCTGCTCTCAGCGTCAGGTCAGGACAAATGTTGGTCCTCACATAGTGACCAGTCCCCTGGCCAGGGGTCTCACCCATGGACGCCCAGAAAGCCTGTTCCTAAACTGCTATCATCAGCTGGTTTTATTCTCACTCGTGGGTTTTCTAAAGAAAAAAATGACACATAGTGGGGAAAACACCAGCCATCTTTGTGAATTCAGGTTTCTCCTGGGCCCCCTCCCTTCACCTGGGCCCCGTGTCCCCACCAGGAAACAGGCGGAGGGTCCAGCTCATCTGCGCGGGCCAGCGGGCCGGACGGGGAGGCTCGGGGCTCCCGTGCGCTGGGCCTGGGCCAGGTGTGTCCTTCCCGCGGGAAGGAGCGGGGCAGGTGGCCCGTCTAATCCCCGCGAGCGGCTTAGGGATTGTCTTTTTCTGGCACCTGCTCCGCCCTGCGCGCCCTCCACTCCAGCCGGGATTTCGCCTGAGCTGGGTCAGCGGGCTTCCTGGGGCTCCCGGTGCCCGGCCATCCTCCTGTCCGCAGAGGGTGGGAACGGGCCAGAGGCCAAGGGCAGTGGGTTAGGCCGGCTTGGGACGTGGGAGCCGGACGCGGAGGGAGGCCGGCGCCAGGATGGATTTCGGGTCCCTGGAGACGGTGGTGGCCAATTCGGCCTTCATTGCTGCCCGGGCCAGCTTCGACGCGAGCAGCGGCCCGACCTCCCGGGACAGGAAGTACCTGGCCCGGCTCAAGCTGCCCCCGCTGTCCAAGTGCGGGGCGCTGCAGGCGAGCCTGGACCTGGCCTTCGAGAGCGTGTGCTCGGAGCAGCCCATCGGCAAGCGGCTCTTCCAGCAGTTCCTGCAGGCCCAGGAGCAGCACGTGCCGGCCCTGGAGCTCTGGAGGGACATCGAGGTCTACAACACCGCCGGTGACGACCTCCGGCCGCAGAAGGCCCAGGCCATCCGGGCCGAGTACCTGGACCCCCAGGCCAAGCTCTTCTGCGGCTTCCTGGACAAGGAGATGGTGGCGCAGGTCCGGGAGGGGCCGGCGGGGGCCGGGGACGGGCTCTTCCAGCCCCTCCTGCAGGCCACCCTGGCGCACCTGAGCCAGGCCCCCTTCCAGCAGTACCTGGACAGCCTGTACTTCCAGCGCTTCCTGCAGTGGAAGTGGTTGGAGGCCCAGCCCGTGGGCGAGGACTGGTTCCTGGACTTCAGGGTCCTGGGGCGGGGAGGCTTTGGGGAGGTGTCTGCCTGCCAGATGAAGGCCACCGGGAAGATGTACGCCTGCAAAAAGCTGAACAAGAAGCGGCTGAAGAAGAGGAAGGGGTACAAGGTGGGCCGCCAAGGTGTTCCGGGGAGCGGGTGGGGGCTGGGGTGTCCTGGGCCGGCTCACCCTGTGGGGGGCGCTCCCGCCGTGCGGCCCTGGGCGGGGTCAGCGCCCCGTGCCCCCTCGTCGAGTCCGCCTGCCTGCCTGGCGACCAAGCCCCTGGCTCGGAGCGGCAGGCGCTGGTGGCGCTGACGCTCTGCCTGTCCAGCCGCTCTACACCACCAGCCTCAGCGCCCGGGGCGGCCCTCCTGGGGGGCGGCCTCTGCGTGGCTGGCGTGGGTCCTGTGCCACAGGCACCATGCTTCTCGGCTTGCCACCAGGGCCACGCAGTGCGGCAGCCGGTGTCGGGGAGGCTGCTGGGATGAGTCTGCAGATCCTTTACTCTGACCTTCTGGAACTTTCCCTGGCTTGTGCTGGGAGGAGGCTGCAGGGGGAGTCTCCCCGGGGCTGGTGTGGGGAGGCCCCAAGGTGCCCGCGTGCAGCGCTGTCCGGGCTGGGGGTTGGGGGTGGTGGAAGCAGCTGCTCTGAGCGGCGCCCACTCTCCGTCTGGCCTCAGGCCCCGTTCGGGCGGGGTCAGCCAAAGCTGCTTAATCTCCAGCCGCGCTCTGCCTGTGTGGGCTTCCTTCCCGTTCCCGCTGCACAGGACAGATCACACTGGGGGCAAACAGCAGCTGCCCCCGAGCACCGCCCCCCGGGGGCCCCTCGATGGTGCTCTGCCTGACGGCCTCTGCGGGCAGCAGGTACCCTCAGGGCCATCTACCTGCAAGTTGAATCTAACTGTTAGGGTATTAAGCCTCTCTTCTCCCGAGTTCAGGAAACTTGTCAAACTTTTGCAGAGTAAAATCCACCTAAAATCTTCCCACGCAGCGGGTAGAAAGGGCTTCTCAACTTCAGGAACTCCTCCTGCGACAGGGCTCTTTCTCCTTACCCAGCACAGCTTTCAAAAACACTTTAAATGGACTTCATGGGGTCTAAAAATCAATATAGAAAATGAACAGGATGCGGGGTGGCTTGAAACGGTGCTGTTCCGAGGCCTGGATGGGAGGAGAAGGGCTGGGATTGCAGCGGGAAGAGCTGGAAGGGAAGGTCAGTGCCGACAGGCTGCCTGGGGACCTGCTGGGACCCTCAGCCACATGTCTAAGGCTGGTTGGCAGGAGCCCCCTTGCTGGCGGCCCTAGGAACCCCGGAGTCCTCTGCACGTGATGGGTTCCCAGGCCCTGTCTTGTCTCTGTGAAACGGGGCGTGTGAGGCATGTCTCTAAGTTATTTGCAATTGCTCTGTACAGCCACTTTTTTTTTTTTTTTTTTTGTGGTATGCGGCCTCTTACTGCTGTGGCCTCTCCCATTGTGGAGCACAGGCTCCGGACGTGCAGGCTCAGCGGCCATGGCTCACGGGCCCAGCCGCTCCGTGGCATGTGGGATCTTCCCGGACCGGGGCGCAAACCTGCGTCCCCTGCATCGGCAGGCGGACTCTCAACCACTGCGCCACCAGGGAAGCCCTGTTTCTGTTTTATCGTGACGTTTTCTGGTTTGTGGAGCTTGGCCGTTTTTGGCAATATCACTTTCCCGCCTAACCCTGGGCGCTCACCCTGCCTTCCAGGGCGCGATGGTGGAGAAGAAGATTCTTGCCAAAGTCCACAGCAGGTTCATCGTGTCTCTGGCCTACGCCTTTGAAACCAAAACCGACCTCTGTCTGGTGATGACCGTCATGAATGGAGGCGACATAAGGTCAGCGCCCGCCTCTCGGCTGTGGGATTGGGACGGGAGGGCTCACGCGGCCGAGTGCGCAGGGGGGCTCCTTCCCACGTGCTGAGGACGTGGTGGTGAAGACAAGCCCTGCCCCCATCTAAGTCCTCCTCTTTGCCTTCGGATTGCGGGTCCTCGAAACGACGTGTCCTCAGTCCCAGTGAAGTGCAGGAACCCTGGGTGAGGCGGTCAAGCTCTCTGGTCAGGGGTCCGTCCTGCGGGCCTCGGGTTCAGGCGGACGGCGGGGTGAGCAGGGAGGGCAGCAGGGCGTGAGGAGCTGCCAATCGAGTGCTAGCTGGACGGTGGATACGGCGGCGGGAGGGGCCTCGAGGGGGCGAGGGCCGCGCTGTAAGAGGGGTGGCAAACGCAGACAAGCTTCGTCAATGACGCACTCTGGGGGTGGTGGCAGAGCGGAAGCACCGTGCGGCCGACTCCGGGAACCGTGGCTTGGCCACCCACCGCAGGGGGAACCAGAGGGCGGCGTCGCCGTACGGGGCCTGGGTTTGCCAGAGACCTGAGGGCCCGGCCCTGGGCTTCCAGGAGCAGTTGGATCACTGGCTCTCAGAGGGGGAAAGACCCACTTGCCAGCTGGGCAACACGGCCGCCCTTGCCCCAGCGCGCTGGTCTGTAAAACGGGGATAGAGGTGAAATACTGGCCTTCCGAGGTTGCTGCGGAGAGCTAGCTGACACACCTTAGACACTTAGGCGACTCGCACGGCCCTCACACAAGGGGGCCGTCGCTGTGCCTCCGTTCTCGGGCCTGCGTTCGCCTGCCCCAAAACTCTGCCAGGTGAGCTTGTTGGCCCCACTTTCCAGGTGAGGCTCTGAGGCCCCCGCCTGAGCCACCTGTGCACGTTCACGGAGGAGGAGCGAAGGGTCTGGAAGCGCAAATAGCACGAGCTGGAGAGCGGAGAGATCGTGACGCTTTGCTCCCCTCCCCTGCCCTGAGCTGTGCTATGTTACGCTGCGCTATATGTGCTGCTGTGTTCCACTGCACTATGTATGCTGCATCGTGTCGGTGGTACTACCCTGCCCTGCGCGGCACTGTACCGCGCTGCGTCAGACGGTGCACGACCCCGTGCTGCAGCACGCTGCCCTGCGTTGCCCCGTCCTTACTACACTGTACGACGTAGGACGCTGTACGTGACCCTGTACTGCACCGCATCGTGCTACCCCGCACTGCACTACAGGACACTAGTAAAATGCACATGGAGCAGAGAAGCCATTCGTGCTGTTGCCCTGGCTGACATGAGGGTTCCTCTCTTGTTTCCTTCGAGATTACGGGCCTGCCTCTCCTCTCCCTGGTTGTTCTTTAGTTTAAATACCTTGCTTGTTAGGTTTTGCGTCTCTGTACAACGTGACAGGGAAACGGGAGATAGGAGGGTCCGGGAGGCCCGGGGGAGTCCTCTGAGGGCCCACCGGGGAGTCTGCGCGTCTCTGGGGAAACGGCCCACTGCCTCCTGGGCTCTGGGTCAGCTGCTCACTTTGGATGGGGCTTGGGCTTGTCCCGCGGCCCGCCTTCGCCTCCCTCTGCCTGGCTCCTTCACTGGTGGCCGTAAAGTGGCTTTGGGGCCTGTTTCCCTGTTACCCGCCGCGGGCCGGGGCAGGGGAGGTGGGGTGGGAGAGCTGCCCTGCCTTTCCCTTGTAACAGCTGTGCTGAGGGGCTGTGAGGGCACAGACACCGGCGGCCGGCGGTCCAGGCTCCGCCGCGGGCCGCTAAGGCTGGACGCCGAGGCTGAAGTGACGGACGCTTTGCCGACACGACGTGGGATTCGGGGGCCTCAACGCTTTCCCGAGATTTTACTTCCCATCAGAACCGTGGGCACGCGGCTCCTGGTTGTGCCAGAGAAGCACAGGCTCCACACGTCTGCCCCCAGGTACCACATCTACAACGTGGACGAGGAGAACCCCGGCTTCCCGGAGGCGCGCGCCCTCTTCTACACGGCCCAGATCATCAGCGGCCTAGAGCACCTGCACCAGCGAGGAATCATCTACCGAGACCTCAAGCCCGAGAACGTGCTCCTGGACGACGACGGTGAGGCGGGCCCCCCGCGCGGCCTCCCCTCGCCTGCTCACCTCTGTAGCCTGATTGGGCGTCGGGAGGGGAGGGAGCCGCTCTGATAAATGCTCGTTGCAGTTTTACGGCGCCAAGACACGTCTCGAGTTTGTTTACTGTTCGTTCTGCTATTTTGCCACCGCGTGGCATTATCCCTGAGTGGAGATGATTAATGGACTTTGGTGAAATCTGGTGCATGACTAGGCGCCAGGGCAGCAGGGAGTTAGTCCAGGAGGCCGGCGTGTGAGGAACTATTAGTAAACAGCTAACGGTGATGGCCGAGTCCCCACCCGATCCCTTTGTTTGCTGTCTTCGTGAGGAGTCAAACTGGGATTCTCATCAGGAAATAACCCCCAAGACTGAGGTTCCCATAAGTCCCTTTAGAGCCCCCCTTCCCTCCCCATCACAGGTCAGACGGACACACTGGTGCCCCAAAGGCCGTTGCTGCAGAGCTCGGGGAAGACAGAGCCACGAGGAGGCTGGCTTTAGGGGGATTATGCCCCGGATTCCAGCTGCGAGCGCTGCTGGGACCCTCGGTCCCTCCGCAGCCTGAGCGGGGAGCGGCGGCCCCTGCGTGTGTGCGCCCTTCTTGTGCACGTGTGTGTGTCCAGGAGCCCCAGGGGCCTTTGTTTGCGGAGCCGCGTGTGACCTGACCCCATGTTTGTTCTCCAGGCAACATCCGAATTTCTGACCTTGGGCTGGCCGTGGAGCTGAAGGAAGGGCAGACCAAGACCAAGGGCTATGCGGGGACGCCAGGTGAGGGCCTGACAGCCGGGGTGAGGGCAGCCGCTATGGGGGCGAAGGGGACGAGGCCCGGGGTCCTGGGGTCCCGCGGCCTGGGGTGGGCGTCACGGTGAAGGCTGGGGCTTGTCAGGAAGATGCTCCCTCATCCGTCCCCTCTCAGGGTGAGACTGCGGGACTGGCACCCACGCAGGGACGACCCCCGACCCCCTGAACAATCACTCCTTGTTTTCCACGCGTGCCCTCTGTGACGGAAGCTCCCCAGCGCCGGCCACGGGCAGAGCCTGGGGGTCTGCACCGAGGGAAGCAGCACAGAGGCAGGGTGGGTGGGACAGGGCCTGGCAGGTGCTCAGCTGTGAGGTGGCCCCTGGACCGTGCGTGTCTGTGTGTGTGACCGTGCACGTGTGCGTGTGTGTGTCTGTGACTGTGCACGTGTGCGTGTGTGTGTCTGTGTCTGTGACCGTGCACGTGTGCGTGTGTGTGTCTGTGTGCATGTGCGTGCGTGGCGCCTCCTGTCCCCACCCCATCTCCTCTCACCCCCAGGCAGGTGGGCGCAGAGAAGAGGCATCCGAGCAGGAGGTGGGGGCGGGGGGGCTTCGGTGCTCACTGCAGGGGCCTGGGGTGACAGGCTCACACTCACACACGGCGCAGCAGGCGCTCCGAGCGCTCTGCCCTCCTGATGGCCCGGGTTTTCTGTAGGACTTCTCAGCAGATCTGCTTCTTCCGCGTGTGTCCGGCTTTGGGGACAAAGAGCTGCTCCCGGGTCCTGCTTTGCCCCCGAGGCCCCCGTCCTGCGCTTTGGGCTCCTTTGGGGGTTGTGCCTGTTGCCACGGCGGGTCTGTCTCATCTGCGGCTTTATTTAGGAAGAGGTCCTGTTGTGAGTTTTCCGGATCCTCTGAGGTTCCTCTCCAGGGCGTGAGCGTGTGAGCGAAATGCCGCTCGCCCATTCCTGGCGGATCAGGTCCGGGGTTGGAGTCGGTGGACCTGGGGTGTCACCGGCCCTGCTTGCACGACGCCCCACCAGCCGCTAGGGGGCGCCCAGGCTTTGCCGCGGCCGCCGAGCGGCTCTGAGCCCTGGACGGCGTGGCTCTGCCCGCGGGCTGTGCTGACCTGTGCGTTTGGGGTCAGGCGGGCGCGAGGGCCTCAAGCAGTGGCAGCGGAGGCTGGGGTCGGTGTGAGTTAGAAGGTGGGGCGTCCAGCGAAGGCTCGGGGAGCCCTCCGTACCCTCTGCCCTGGACCCCTGCTCCCTCCGGCCCAGGTCCCCAGAGCCGAGCCTCCGCCCCCCGTTCAGCTGCAGTCCACGCAAAGGGGCACTCGCTGCGCCAGCACCGCGGGGCTCGGGGCGGGGGGAGGAGGACCTGGCGCCTAGACTGACGCTGCGTGCACTCACCCATTGCCCGCTCGAGCCGTCTTTCCCGCGAAGGAGGTTCATCGTTGCCACGTGAGACACCGCGAGGCAGACGTGTCATTGGGTCCCAGCGGGTGGAGCAGACTGGAGGGGCCAGCGGGCTGTTTGCTGCAGGGATGTTGCGTCTCTGTGGTCGGTGGGCCCTCCTCTCGGGCCCGTTTTCATGGAGAAGTTGTGGTTGGTGGAACGTGTCTTTCTCCAGAGTCTGGGCCGTCTGGCCAGCACTGTAATCCCTGAAAAGACGCTATGTTCAGGGCCAGGGGGTTATTTGGAACTTGGCTCCTGTAACCTCCGGGGGAATGTCCTGTGGCCACAGCAGCGTGGCCCGTGTTATCCAGCCATGTCCCCCCTGGGAACTTGCCGCGAACGCAGGTAAACGCTGAAGGACCAGGCGGTGCTGGAGACAAAAGGCCATGCTCAGCTTTGCCTTTGGGGGATGTCTGGTCATCCGAGCACAGAAGCCACCCTGGCGCCTAGCCTCAACGGCCTACCCGGCCCCGGGGGAGTGGACCTCGGGCCCCAGGTGCTGCCCGTCTACCCTTCCCACGCCCTGGGCTGGCCTCTGCACGGGGCACAAAGGGATGGAAGCCAGAGCTGGCTCTCGGGGTGTCCCCTTCAGCCTGCAGGCCCCGCACGTGGCCCCGACTCCCCAGAAGTGGAGCGCACGGGCCGCTGGGCGTCCGGACCACTCTTAGGAGCGTTGGGGTTTCAGCCTCTCCTTTTGTGCCCTTTCGGGTCTGAGCGCCTGCCTCTGACCACAGGTCCTGTGTGAGCCTCAGACACTGGCTCTGTCCGCCATGGGCAGCACAGTGGGGGTGAGATCCACCTTGGATGGAGGGGGCTCCCGCCAGGGATGGCTGTACCGAAGGGGACACTCACACCGGGGGAGCGCTCCCTAGTGGGTGGGCGCGGGGCAGCCCTGCATGTCCCGGTGCAAGGACCCTACTGGGTTCCGGGGAGACGGGAGGTGTGAGCCCGTGTGCTGGTCTCCGAGTCGCGCTGTGCTCCTGTCGCAGGCTTCATGGCCCCGGAGCTCTTGCGGGGTGAGGAGTACGACTTTGCCGTGGATTACTTCTCCCTGGGGGTCACGCTGTACGAGATGATCGCGGCCAGAGGCCCCTTCCGAGCCCGCGGAGAGAAGGTAGGAGGTGGCCAGCGGTGTCCCTGCAGCTGAGCTGGCATCAGCTCCGTGTGTGTGTGTGTGTGTGTGTGTGTGTGTGTGTGTGTGTGTGTGTCATAGGAGCAGTGTCCCCGTGGGACCTAGTGACCCTCCTTGTTGGGGTCACAGGAGCAGTGTCCCCCAGCTGACCTGGTGACCTTCTTTTCGGGGAGCACTAGGCTTCTCATGGTGCACACGGCGACCTCATCTCCTGGGTCTCCGTGCGCCAAGGAGCCTGTCAGGAGGAGAGGAGCCCGGACACCCCCCAGCCCCGCCCCCACGAGCGGTGCTGCTCTGGGGGGCGTGGCTCACCCGCCGGCGGCCTCCCTGCCCTTCCCGGAGGCCAAGGCGCTCGCCTCCCCGGATGCTCAGGCCGTGCTGCAGGCACGGCAGCTTCCCTGGACGTCCTGGGGGCAGCTGGCACCGGGGGTGGCTGTGCTGGGGCCCTGCCTCCTGTGCCCCCCGCTTCCTGTCCGCATGGCAGCCCCGCGTCTCCCCGGGGAGCTCTGCCAGCCCAGCGGAACCGCGAATAGGTGTCGTTCAGAGCCGCCAGCACTGTTCGCAAAAGGAGCAAAGCAGCCTCTTCCCCGGACCCCATGCTGACTCTGCTCAGAGCTAAGCCTGTCTGTGGGGCTGAGGAGGGAGGCCTGGGGAGAACTGTACTTTAGACGTGGCCCCTCGGCCTGCCTGGAGGTCGCAGCCATCAGTTTCTTCTGCTGGACCTCCCCGAGGGCCCCCGCCCAGTCCCCGCTCCTTTCCTGAGATAGTCGTGGGGACGGTCTGGTCTCCAGTCCCCCAAGAGTGAGAACCCCTCTGCTGACTAACGCGTAGGGTCGCTCTGTGCGCGTGCACCTCTGCCTTGGACTCCAGCAACGGGTCTCTCCCCGACCTCAGCTCAGAAGAGCAGAGTAAAGCAACACAGTGTGGGGTCCATGTTGGCCTCAGGCCACCACAGGAGCTCCACCGCAGAGCCCTGGCTGAGCCCACAGCCCTGAAAGGAGCCCTGTTTTCTGGTGAAAATAGGCAGGAGACGCTTTTATGAGAAAGTGAACCGTCATAGTCTGTCCATCCGTGGTCCATCTGTGGTCCCTCCATTCCATGGTCCGTCCGTGGTCCATCCATGGTCCCTCCATTCCATGGTCCATCCGTGGTCCATCCATGGTCCCTCCGTGGTCCCTCCATTCCATGGTCCATCCATGGTCCCTCCATTCCATAGTCCATCCGTGGTCCATTCCATGGTCCATCCATGGTCCCTCCATTTCATGGTCCATCCGTGGTCCATCCATGGTCCCTCCATTCCATGGTCCATCCGTGGTCCATCCATGGTCCCTCCATTCCATGGTCCATCCGTGGTCCATTCCATGGTCCATCCATGGTCCCTCCATTCCATGGTCCATCCGTGGTCCATCCATGGTCCCTCCGTGGTCCCTCCATTCCATGGTCCATCCGTGGTCCATCCATGGTCCCTCCGTGGTCCCTCCATTCCATGGTCCATCTGTGGTCCATCCTCTGGTCCATCCGTGGTCCCCCCATTCCATGGTCCGTCCGTGGCCCCTTCATGCTATGGCCCATCTCTGGGTCATGCATCCTGGGGTCCATCTTCAGTGCATCTGTGGTCCCTCCATTCCATGGTCCATCCATGGTCCCTCCATTCCATGGTCCATCTGTGGTCCCTCCATCCATGGTCCATCCGTGGTCCCTCCATCCTCTGGTCCATCCGTGGTCCCTCCATCCCATGGTCCATCCGTGGTCCATCCATGGTCCATCTGTGGTCCATCCATGGTCCCTCCGTGGTCCCTCCATTCCATGGTCCATCCATGGTCCCTCCATTCCATAGTCCATCCGTGGTCCATCCATGGTCCATCCGTGGTCCCTCCATTCCATGGTCCATCCGTGGTCCATCCATGGTCCCTCCATTCCATGGTCCATCCGTGGCCCCTCCATTCCATAGTCCATCCATGGTCCCTCTGTGGTCCATCTGTGGTCCCTCCATTCCATGGTCCATCCATGGTCCATCCATGGTCCCTCCGTGGTCCCTCCATTCCATGGTCCATCCGTGGTCCATTCATGGTCCCTCCGTGGTCCCTCCATTCCATGGTCTGTCCGTGGCCCCTTCATGCTATGGCCCATCTCTGGGTCATGCATTCTGGGGTCCATCTTCAGTGCACCTGTGGTCCCTGCATTCTGTGGTCCACCTGAGTTCCCTGTGTTCGACGGGAAGGAGCCTCGGTACCCGTGACATGGACAGGTCTCAAACCCCCCACTATGAATGAAAGAACCTGACCCCGGAAGAGTGACTCTGGACGATCCCACTTCCGTGACCCTTTAGGGCGTTTCAGGAAGGGCAAATATGACCGACAGGGAGAGGACACGGGCAGCGTTCAGCTGAGGTGGGGCTGGAGACTTCCGGGCTGACTGTCGGGGAGCCCCCTGGGGATGGAGCCACCGGAAGTGAACTTTGTGGGCTGGAAGTCACGCTCGGGAAAGCTGGTCTGCACTAAGGCTCCATGGGCCCAGGGGGCGTCTGCCCTCGGCAAACCTCTGCTACCTCGCCGGGCAGGCTGGGGGCGATGGTTGTGGGAGTACAAGGTGTCCACCTTCAGGGTCTCACGCCCTGACCAGCGATACTGAGCCCTTAAGGGCTAACACGCGGGAGGGTGGCGTCAGGCACCCCCAAGAGCAGGGCCGGCCGGGCCCGCGGAGCTGCCGTGTCCGGAGCTGCCGTGGCAGCTGGGGCGATGCGGGTGGGCCTGGCCGGGGTGTGACGTGGGTGTCAGGGGTGTGACGTGGGCTGACGGTGCTGTGTCCGCCGTGCAGGTGGAGAACAAGGAACTGAAGCAGCGGGTCCTGGAGGAGGCGGTCACCTACCCCGACAAGTTCAGCCAGGCCTGCAAGGACTTCTGCGAGGCACTGCTGCAGAAGGACCCCGAGAGGCGCCTGGGCTTCAGGGACGGCTCCTGTGATGGGCTCCGCGCCAGCCCCCTCTTCAGAGACATCAGCTGGCGGCAGCTGGAGGCCGGTACTGTCCGCGTGTGGGAGCTGGGGCTGGGGGCTCCTAGGCGACCCTCGCTGGCCGCCCCATCCCATTGGCGTCCGACAGCTTAGCGTGAGGTCGGGGGGCGGGCGGCCTGGGCGAACCCCACCCCTGGAGCATCCTCTGCCCCCAATGACACCACCGTCCCTCTTCCCTGCTCATCCCAGCGTGCCCAGGACTGGATGTTCACGGGGTGGCTCTCCTGGGGACCCGAGGAGGCGGCGAGGGTTGGATGGGGTGTGCGGGAAACACCTGTGAGCTGAAGATCTGAACCTGCTGTCAGGCGGTTCCTTGAAGGAGCCTGCGATCCAAGTCGAGGCGGGATTTCTCCAGCCGTCGTTCGTTCCACCAGAGTCTGCTGTCATGTCTCGTGCAAACTAGTGTGTGCGAGTGTGTGTGTGCACGCGTGTCTGCGGGAGAGAAGCGTGGCACCCGCCACACCCACCAGAACCCACACCCAGGAAGTGTGAGCCTGTGACCTCATGGCCCGACGCCCCAGTAGGAGAAGTTTCTTTGGTGGGGAAGGGTCAGGGCAGTGGCAGCCCCAGCTGATCTGAAGGTGCCGGGTGCCAGGGAGAGCTGCCCAGACCAGCCCCAGGCCCGGGGAGATCAGGCAGCCCGAGCGAGCGGTCAGGACCCGGGAAGCCGGAGCCGCATTGAGTCCCGAGGCCACAGGGTCCGTGCTGAGGAGGGATCGGGTGAAGGCACAGGGAGTTCAGTTCCGAGCATGTTGTGATCGAGGTGTAGACCTGCAGATGGGGAGGCCGGCACTGGGGCTGGGGGTCTGCAGAGACGGTGGGCACAGCGGTGTCGGGGGCAGTGCAGGCAAGGGCCCGCCGACCCTCATGACGGGGCTTCTGGGCGGGGCGGAGGGGGCGCAGATGGGGGCTGGGTTCTGGCGACGTGTGTCCAGACCGGACTCTGAGTCTCCAGCCTGGCTCAGCGCCCTGTGGCGGGTGTCGCTCTCCTTGTCACCGCCAGGGCCGCATGTGGGCAGCAGCCCTGCTGGCTGAGCGCGGCCGCCTCCTCCCGCTGGCTGGCCCTTCACGCCCTGTGTCTTCCGTCCTCTCACAGGGATGCTGACCCCCCCCTTCGTCCCAGACTCCAGGACTGTCTATGCAAAGAACATCCAGGATGTGGGTGCCTTTTCCACAGTCAGGGGTGTGGCCTTTGACAAAGAGGACACAGAATTCTTCCAGGAATTCGCCACCGGCACCTGCCCCATCCCCTGGCAGGAGGAGATGATCGAGAAGGGCATCTTTGGGGACCTGAACGTGTGGCGGCCTGACGGGCAGATGCCCGATGACATGAAGGGGATCTCCGTGCCGGAGGCGGCCCCCTCGTCCAAGTCGGGGTTGTGTCTGGTTTGCTAGGCCAGCTGCAGCGCCTCATGGGTCAGCTGAGCCCCTCCCGCCAGGCCGCTGCATGGCTGTGGCCCGGCGCTCAGCACAGGCAGGACAGAGGAAACCGGTCCAGCCCGGCCTCCCGCGCAGGGTCAGGAGTGCCAGCAGTAGATAGCCTACCTCTTTTGCACCCTTTCACTCAAAAAGGATCCGGTGGTCCCAGGACGGAATGCACCAGCGACGTGTGGCTCTCCAGGCCCTGGAGCGGACGTGCAAGCTGGCGGCGGCTTGGGCGGCGAGAGTGAAGACTCAGTTCGGGCTCCCTGCACCGCAGCTGCAGCTTCGCAGGCCCTGCCTTCTCTGGGCTGGTTCAGAGGTCGGCAAACCCTGGCCTGTGGGCTTGCGGGCTCCGCTGGGAGGCCCGGACTGTGCGCCGGCCCGGTTTCCCTTAGCGCCCAGCTCCTGGCCCCGCCCCTAGCTGTCAGGTCACTGCTGGGGCTGAGCTGGTCCCCGCCCACACGTTGGGGATGCCATCTGCACGTCTGCCGGTGCTGAGTCTCCAGCAGGGTCCCCTTGCCGGCCGGGGCCTGGGCGTCCAGGAGGAGGGGAAGGGACAGGGGCCTGGGGGTGACGCTGACTGCGGTGGTCACCCCCTTGGCTTCTCCTCATCCTGAGACCATCGCCAGTTGATGACAACTGGACACAAGCTGCCCACCCCCAGCAGACAGAACGGGCCAGCGGCTGTCTCCCCGCACCCGGCACCTGCTTCCCACCCCGACTCTGCCTCTTGTCCTGCAAGGCCTGGCCCTCTCCTGGCCTCCCTCCTGGGGCCAGGAGGGCTGGTGTTGCTGCGTGGGGTTTGCTGCCTGACGGCCGGGAGCAGTCCCCTCCCTTTCTTGAGCGCTTCTGCCTTCAGAGTGTCACGCCGAGTGTGGCTAGCACCCCTGCCATCTGCTCCCCCAGCAGCCTCGGGACAGGAGTGACCCTGAGGGGCACGACCTTGGAGGCTGCGGCCCAGCCACCTGGGACCAGTGGCCCCGCTGGCCTGGAGCCACTGCAGGAGGCTGGCCCCGGGCTGTTGTGGCTCAGACAGCCGTCAGGTGGAAGAGGCCGGCTCGTTGGTGGGGATGTTTCAGCGTATCTTCGGGTCCCTTGTGCACCGAGGGCATTAAAGCCCCTCTCCTGGTGAAGAAACCTGCAGGACGACCCTCTCTCCTGTGCGCTGCAGCCACGATGTCCTGCAAGGGCCCTGAAGGGCCGTCCCGTGCTTTTGGTCTGTGACCTGAAACTGCCACGTGAGCATCGCCTGGGAGGCTGAGATGGGGGCCCGCGGCCAGGGGAGGCCGGGCTGTCGGCAGGATCAGTCGCTGTGTCGGCCCTGACGCGGTTTTGTGTCCTAGGATGAGACATGTGGATTATCTAATAGCTGGAAATCTCACCTCACTCACTACCTTCAGGTGCAAGACACACCACTTCTGGTCTTTCTAAACCCATTTAATCTGCTCTAGGTCCCCATGGCCCTGAGCAGAGTGATTTAAACCTCAGGGGGCGGGTGTGGCCTGGCCTTTGGCCGCCGTCCCAGTGCCTGCCCGGGGCCCACGGCGCCTGAAGAGCAGCCCCTCCTGTGGGACCAGCAGCCCCGGCGGGGACCCCTCTGCTTTCATCTTATGCCTGGACGGCCCGAGGAGACACAGGCCGTGGATACAGTTGAATTTCAGATAAACAACAAGTAACTTTCTCGCGCGTGGGATGTACTTAACGCTAGAAACCGATGCAGCGTTTTTGGCTACATCTGGCACAGCTGTTGCAGGTGCTTTACTCAACCTACGAAGGAGGGTTATTCCATGAACCAGCAGGTCTGCGGAGATATAATCGCAAGAGCGAGTTACGTGTGACTTCCGCTGCCTCTCTCTTGTGGTCTGCTCAGGGGTGGCCCCTGCTCCCCAGCGAAACTCAAGCCAGCCTCATGTAGTTGCACACAGGCAGCAAAAGTCGTGCAGTCACTTCACTTCTATTTTAAAACACTTTGAAACTTAAATTTTCACATAGAAACAAAGGAATTGGCAACGCCCACACTGTGATACGGACACCGCCACACAGGTGCAGGAGCCTGGATGCGCCGGTGTCCCGCTGGTCAACCCCGACCCAGAGGCGCCCTGCGGCCACCGTGGGGAGCAACCAAAGCACTAACGTGAAATGCCCCACCGGGAGGACCGCCACCCCAGCCACCCCAGCCACTGCGTCTTCCCCAGCTGGGCTGGAGGGACGTCTCCACCCTCCCGTCCAGCTGCAGCCTTGGGGCCTGGGGGCGAGGCCGGGGGCCGGAGGGGGCACAGGGCAGTTCCCGGCTGCTGGGTGGGCGCTTATGGTGACTTCATTGTGGGGTTTCTTCATGGGCCTTCGGGGGCCTCTGCTGGGGGACATCTCGGGTGCAGACCCCCTGACCGGGCACACTCTGAGGGGTCTCGCTGTCACTCCAGCTGTTCCCCGGCTCCCCTGGGCAAGGGACACGCCATCCAGGCTGGATAACGGGGCTGCCCGGGCGTTCCCCCGGGCCAGAGCTGGGGGGCCCTCTGTGGAGAAGCCTTCGTCCCTGGGCCCTTTCATCCCCGAGCACAAGCCTCGGGATCCCCGAGGGGTGCTGGGCTCAGGCGCTTGGCCCTCGCCGTCGTTCCCATGCCAGGAGCCAGAGGAGATCCCACCTTTCCATCCTGGTGCGTTCCAGCGTGAACTGTGGTGAGGATGTGGGCCCCCCACAAGCGCATATTTCCTTATGGAGAATCTGCAAGCACCTTCACTGCGACTCGTCCTTTGTAAAAGACAAAAAATGCAATTTCCATCCAAGTAGAAAAGGGTAAAAATAAAAGTTTAAAAACACGGCAGACTCTCTAGATTGTGATATGGTCCTGGTGCACACTCTCCTTCAAAATCACATACACACATTGCTCAGCCATAAAAAGAAGCGAAATTGGGTTTATTTGTAGTGAGGTGGATGGACCTAGAGTCTGTCATACAGAGTGAAATAAGTAAGAAAGAGAAAAACAAATACCATATGCTAACACATATATATGGAATCTAAAAAAAATGGTTCTGACGAACTTAGGGGCAGGAGAGGAATAAAGACGCAGATGTAGAGAATGGACTTGAGGACATGGGGAGGGGGAAGGGTAAGCTGGGGCAAAGTGAGAGAGTGGCATGGACATATACACACTCCCAAACGTAGAATAGATAGCTAGTGGGAAGCAGCCGCATAGCACAGGGAGATCAGCTCGCTGCTTTGTGACCACCTAGAGGGGTGGGATAGGGAGGGTGGGAGGGAGGGAGATGCAAGAGGGAAGAGATGTGGGGATATATGTATACCTATAGCTGGTTCACTTTGTTATACAGCAGAAACTAACACAGCATTGTAAAGCAATCATATTCCAATAAAGATGTTTTAAAAAATCACATACACATGTGCAGATGCATATGGACATGTGCACACATGTACACACACATGTACACATAGATACACGTACATAACACATGCACACAGTGCGCTCTTGCGCACACACAGGCACACATGCACTCAGGCACACACATGTACACAACACAATGCAGTCATGTACACGCACACATGTGCGCACACACACACGCACTCATGCACACACATGCGCTCTTGCACTCACACACGCACACACTCTGTCCCCATCTCCCTCCAGATTCAGAGAGTTGCCGGCGCAGCCCTGCGGCCCCTGGGTCTGCACCTCTGCTCTGCTCCCCGTCCGGGCGGGTCCCGTGTGGCTTCCGTCTGCTGCTCCTGGTAGCCCGTCAGGCCCTGCTGTCTACACATATAAACCCCTTTCTTCCACTTGTCTGAGTGGAGCTGCAGCCTGGGAGAGGCAGCCCCATGGGTTTTCCGGGGTGATTCAAGCGATACGGGCTGATTCTGATCAACAATAACTAACTAAACATAACTGCGAATATCATTACCCACCCGAGCTCAGCAAAGGCTGAGGTCACCTCCTCTTACTTCACGATGGGCCCAGCCCCTCCTGCGAGTGTTCAGACACACAAGAGGGCCCCAAGTGAGAATACAGCGTCCACGTTACAGGCATTTTGCCGGCTAAGAGAAGAGTGTGAGAGGCCATGGGATTAAAATAACCATGAGATAGGCTCCCAGGCTGTACCCAGACAATGTCAAATGAAGGTAAGAAGGCTTGGTTTGATTTTGGGGAAACCAAACCTCAGTCCCTCAGTGACGGTAGAACACTGTTCTTCCAGGTTCACGCTCCTGACGTCCAGACGAAGGGCCGAGGGGAGAAGGCTCATGAAGGGCCAGGGCCTCGGGGTGCGACGACGGGGGTGGCCAGCCTGGGCGCGCCCGGCCCTGTGGGTCCTGGAGGCTCAGGGCGCCGCCTTTCCCCGACACTCCAGAATGGGTAAGGGCGCGGGTGCTAGGCCAGGCCTGTGAGGGGCAAGGCCTCACTCAAGGCGACGGCTTGCCAGTCCCAGGAGATGGCAGGCAAGCTGTGTGGCCGGTCCAAGGCCCGGAAGGCTCCCCCTTCCTCACCAGGGAGTCAGCCGGCGGGGGGCTTCCCGCTTCCTGTGGGGCCTGAGAGCCTGGAAAGGTGAGCCTCCTGCTTGGGCTCTCTAGAGGGGCAGGGAGATCACGGTTACAGGCCCCCCGCGAAGCCCCAGGAGTGTTTGCAATTTACACCGTTTGTGTCCCTGAGAGCATCTCCCGTCTGGCTGGCCGCCTCGCCGGGCACAGGCAGGCGGGGCCCTGAGTCTCCCCGGCCTCCGGTCTGCATTATTCATTCCCGGCTCATCGCAGGGTATTCAGTTACTGCAGGGCCCCTAAGCCCGAGACCAGACTCTCACGCGCTCCCACGACGCACAGGGGTCCTGCCTGCGCAGGAGCCCAGGGCCCTGGATCTGGACCCCGCCTGGCCTGTGGTTGACAGAGGAGCTTCCTGCATGGTTCCTAGGGGTCTTTTAATCCCTCTCTTTTTAGGGCTGGTCCTAGTTTCAGAGCCTGCTGACCCCTATCTGCTCACACAGGTTGGGGAGAAGGGGCCTCCACCTGGGTCTCCTCGAGGGGGCCGGGCCGGGAGGACTCCGTGGAGAGGGGTGCGTCCAGCAGGGGCCCCCGCCTGGGTCGGAGCAGGTGGTGAGAGGGGTGGGGGCCGTGCTCGTTCAGTCTCCATCCGCAAGGTGTTCCTGGGCGCCTGCCGTGAGTGGGACGTGGTTCTAAGCAGGGAACAAAAGAAGGGCCGTGATGAATTCAGTTTCATAACAGGACCGAGTAAGCGCCAGGGTCACCCTGCCCACCACCCGCGCCTGCACGGGATCGAGGGCTGAGCCTCCCTTCTTGGGCAGCTGGTCATGTACTTTTATGTCACCCTGATCGTAATTTAAGAAACTAAGTTCTAGACTCCTCTCCCTCTCCCCCGTTCCAGCTGGAGCCTGTGAGATTCATCCTCGGAGGAGGGAGACCGGGCAGGGTGGATGGGCGGAAATCCCTGGGGCACTTCCCGTCTCTGCTTTCTCCAAAGCCTAAGCCAGGTAACTGGGAGGCAGCAACCGGAGGGTGAGGGGAGGTGGGCCGGCACCCGGCCAGCCTTGGCCGCCAGCCACCAAAGGCCATCTGAGCTTGGCGGGGGGGCCCCTGGGGGCAGGCCGTAAGGACCGACGGCCAGACGTGCCCACACGCTCACCTGCCACTGTGACAGAGTGGAGCCCCGACGGGAGCAGGGGGCCAGCCAGGTGTGTGTGCACCTGTGCCGTGCGGGACCTGCGAGGACATCAGGCTGACGGGGCCTGTGGGAAGATGAGTCCCTCTTCTCGCAGTGTGGGGCCGAGCCAGCCCCTCCCGTCAGCTCCTCCGTGCTGGACGGGTCTCCAGGGGCAGCTGGGGTCACGCTGGACCTCGTGCTGGGAAGGGTCCCTCCCTGCCCGGGCGTGAGGAGGATGCAGGGAGACCCCACTGCGCAGAATCCTCAGTCTCACGGTGATTGCTTGCCCTCCCGCCAGCCCTGCTCCTGGGCCCCTGAAAGCCTGCCCCCCGACTTAGCTACCCCCGCAGGCAGCCGGACACAACACCGTGCGCACCGCCCCCCCAGCATCCCCTCGGCCTGAAAGCCTGCTTCCCATTCCTGTTGCTCAGGGACCACCTGGGCACCTCAGACGTTCATTTCCCTCTAGACGCCCTGGTTCGAGTGTCCAGGCCCCAGGATTATTAATGGCCCCTAGGGGGTCCTGATGCAAGGCAGGGTCACCGAGCAGGTCACCGGGGAGGCCTGGATCTCCGCAGGGGCCGGGTCACGTCCCTGGGATCCCTGCTCCTTCTCTAGCACGGTGACTGCTCTCACCGATGCTACTGTCACCATCTGCTTTATAACACAGTAGTATGTTTTATTTCTCCTGCTTCGCACTTTTAAAGCCCTTGAAGGGCAGGTCTGTATGACTTATCTTCACGGCTCTCCTCGTATCTTGCACATAGAGGAAATTCAACAAATGTTGACTGCACGGACGAGAGATTAAATTAAATGTCCGCAGTGAAGTAAATACATGCTTTCCCACTTGGAGGATGGATTACGCCTTGATATCGAACTGACCTGGTTCGTATCTTATCTCAGCCACTGACCAGCTACTTCAATTCAGAAAAATTATTTAAATTCTCAGTGCCTCAGTTTCCTCATCTGTGAAATGGGTAGAACATTGTACCGATTAACAAAGGCAGACATGAGCAGCGGTGATCACAGGGAGAGGCATCTGATAGGTGTTTGACCAGTGTCAGCCCCGATCTCCATCTGCCCCGCCCATCTGAAGGGTGAATCCAGGTCAACTCAGAACCTCTGGGTGAGACCCTCTGAGGGGATGCGGCTGTTTCTGGGGGCAGTGGGGACTTGAGTTCAGGTGAGGGAAGTGGAGGCAGGGTATTAGGATACTTCAAACATATTACACTGAGCAGGAAGGAACTTGGCACTAGGGTTCATAACTTTTAATCAATTATCTTCTTAACGTCAGTAATAATTGGTCCAGACCCTCTGCCTGTCCTCAGACCAATAGAAGACAGATTTCCTCATCGTCTCATAATTGCCTTTGCAAGAGCTAAATTACATTACGTTTTAAAAATACCCTGATCCCCGACTGTGGCTCCCTGCAGAGCTGGGCTGGATGCAGGCGTCCTCAGGCCTCCGCGGGGGGATCAGGTGTCAGTCGGTGTCATCAGCCTCAGAGCCGGTGCCTCCTACACTGGTTGTGCTGCTCGGTCTCCTGGCGGGGGTGCCTGGGGGTGAATTCTAAAAACGTCCGTGCCAGGTCCACGCGCAGGCTTTGGAGGAGGCCCGGGTCTGCTCTAGTCGCGTCGAGTAGCCTCCTGGGCCTGTTTCCTCACCTGGGCAGGGGGAGCTTGGGGGGCGGGCACACTAACGCCTGCCATGCTTGTCTCACGATCCCCTGCTCACGGAGCCCTGAGAGGATTCCCAAAAATCTGCCCAGCTCCAGTTGGCGTCTAAAATCTCCTGCGGTAAACGTATTAGTTGGAAAAAGGTATCATTTCTGGCAACACACGCACATTTTTTAAGGATATTTTCAGCGCACCTTTGGAATGACACACAGGTCCAGCCCACCCAGCTGCCCTCGGGGTGCGGCCGCGAGCTCGGCCACGCACGGCCACGGCCGGGTGACCCTGCTGAGCGGCCGGGCCGAGTGTGGACAGAGCACTTGGACCCCGTGGGGCTCCTTCCCAACACACACGGGGCTCCGGTCGGCAGAGTCAGGTCTGGTTTTCAAAGCAGCCAACCGAATCAGACTTGCTTGCTGTCAGATGTTATGAGCTACCCTTCACTTCCGACAAGTGGGCGAACAGACGCCTCCACGGCAACCGCTCGCTGCGCGATTGTCGTCTACACCCTCCTGGGCGATGCGCGACGGGCGGGTCTCCTGTGAGCTCGCAGAGG